ATTTTTGGGATTTTGACTGGTTTTAGAAACAGGAGCATTGGTGTTGTTCTTTAACAGAGATTCAGCCTCAATAAAAAGTTATTTAATCTGCTTCACCACACTTCGAGTAGGCTGAGACCACAATTTATTATCTCGTTTCTCTGGATACTTCCCAGCTCCTCATGAATAAATCAAAGCTTGCACTCTGAGTTTATTAAAGAGATATTTTAATTTGCAGGATCTGGGTACTCCCAGTGAAAAGATCTGGCCTGGTTACAACGAGCTGCCAGCAGTGAAGAAAATGACCTTCACAGAATATCCCTACAACAACCTGCGCAAGAGATTCGGGGCTCTGCTCTCGGACCAGGGCTTCGACCTCATGAACAAGTGGGTGCCACCTTCCAGGGGATCCAAATTGGTGTCATTAGACCCAAAAATAAAATTATACCAAAGAAATAGGATTATATCGAGTGCCCAGTAATGAAATGATACCAAAGTAGTAGAATTATGGCCAGTGTCCTGTGATAAAATGATACCAAAGTAATTATTGTACCCAATGCTCTGTAATAAAATTATACCAAATTAATACCCAATGCCCAGTAATAAAATGTACCAAATTAATGGAATTATAGCCAATACCCAATTAAAAAAATGATACCAAAGTAATAGAATTATATCTAGTACCCAGAAATAAAATATACCAAATTAGTACAAAATGTCCAATAATAAAATGATACCAAATGAATAGAATTCCACCCAATACCTAGTAATAAAATTACACCAAAGTAATAGAATTATACCCAATATCCAGTAATAAAATTATACCAAATGAATAGAATTATACCAATAGCCAGTAATAGAACTATACCCAATACCCAGTAATAAAATATACCAAATTAATACAGAATGTCCAGTAATAAAATTGTACCAAATTAATAGAATTATACCCAATAATAAAATGTTACCAAATGAATACAAAATATCCAATAATAAAATTGTACCAAATGAATAGAATTGTGCCCTATACCAAATTAATGCAGGATGTCCAGTAATAATTCTACTCATTTGGTATAATTTTATACCCAATACCCAGCAATAAAATTACACCAAAGTAACAGAATTCTACCCAATCCTACTCACGTAATTTCACCAAATTAAAGAATTCCACCCAACACTGGTACCAGAATCACCCCCAATACCCAGTGCCAGAATTCTGTTAAACACCACAAACCCCTCAGCCTCATTCCTGAACAGTTCACCATTTTTGGGGGCTAAAATCTCCCTTTTTCCCCTGCTCCTTGGCAGCTTCCTGACGTACTACCCGGCGCGGCGGATCACGGCCGAGGACGGGCTGAAGCACGAGTACTTCCGGGAGACCCCGCTGCCCATCGACCCCTCCATGTTCCCCACCTGGCCAGCCAAGAGCGAGCAGCAGAGGGTCAAGAGGGGCACCAGCCCCCGGCCCCCCGAGGGAGGGCTGGGCTACAGCCAGCTGGTGAGTGTGGCACAGCTCCAGAGCCTCCCCTGGGCTGGGATTTGGTTGGGATCCTCACTGGCAGGGAGAGTCCCAGCTTTCCTTCCCAAAGCCCAGGCAGAGTCCAGCTTTCCTTCCCAAAGTCAGTGCTGTGAGTGTGGCACAGTCCAGAGCCTCCCCTGGGGCTGGGATTTGGTTGGGATCTTGAGATTCCCCTTAGATTGGCAGGGAGAGTTCAGCTCCCCTTCCCAAAGTCAGTGCTGTGAGTGTGGGACAGCTCCAGAGCCTCCCCTGGGCTGGGATTCGGTTGGGATCCTCACTGGCAGGGAGAGTCCCAGCTTTCCTTCCCAAAGCCCAGGCAGAGTCCAGCTTTCCTTCCCAAAGTCAGTGCTGTGAGTGTGGGACAGCTCCAGAGCCTCCCCTGGGGCTGGGCTTTGCTTGGGATCTTGAGATTCACCTTAGATTGGCAGGGAGAGTTCAGCTTCCCTTCCCAAAGCCCAGGGAGAGTTCAGCTTTGCTTCCCAAAGTCAGTGCTGTGAGTGTGGCACAGCTCCAGAGCCTCCTCTGGGCTGGGCTTTGCTTGGGATCCTGAGATTCCCCCAGACTGGCAGGGAAAGCCCATTTTTTTCTCTCTCCTTCTTTTTTTTTCTTTCTCATGGATCAAAAGTGGACACAGGAACTAGGAACACTCAAACTGCTTTTAGCAATGGCAAATTTTGAAATAGCAATATGTAAAAATTATTAATAACCTTAACTGTGATGCCACTAAATCAAACATTTGTTTCTCATCTTGAGATGATTTATTTTTGTTGTTTAGATTTTTGGAGGGGTAAATGCAGCTGCCCAGCCCCTGATCAGTGCTTGGTTTTCACAGGGTGATGATGACCTGAAGGACACAGGTTTCCATCTGACCACCACAAACCAAGGAGCATCAGCTGCAGGACCTGGCTTCAGCCTCAAGTTTTGAACTCAACATGGAAAAGGAGGGGGAGAAAAAAAACCCCAAAAGCAAAAAAAAAAAAGCACCATTCATGTGAGTGGATTTGAGTGCCCCAGTTCTGTTCTCTGTCAGGGGCACCAGATGTTTTTCCCTGTGAAAAAACTCAAAGATGATCACAGATTCCAAGGCTCTTGTTTTATAAATCAATGTGGAGTTTAACTGCTGCATTCCATTAGAGGACTGGAGTTACCTGAAAACCCCAGGATCATCACAAACTGTGGCAAAGGACAACTTGAAATAAAGTCCTGGAACAGTTTCTGGTTTATTTTTAGGGTTTTTTGTTGTTGAGTTTGTTTTGGTTTGGTTTTTTTTCCTTGTAAATTTGTAGAATTAAAATACATTTTCAATTGTTTAATAGAGTGAAGGATTTCATTGCTTCACATGCAGCACAGTGGGATGTTGGTGACAGTAAAGAGAGTTTATTTTTTATTTTAAGTGAGTAAATGGTTTGTGTCTGAATATATTTGGGGCAAAAAGAAAAATGACAATGATGAGATTTGTATCCTGTTACCTTGGAGAGAGCTGGGCTGGGTTTGATACTCCCTGACCAGATTTTTTCTTTTGTTCTGTAAATGTATTTACACTGCAAAACAAATTACTCTATTGTTTTATAAATCAAAAAGATTTAATATGGAGACTTGAAACTTTATTTTCTGTCGAAGTTGTTTTGTTTTGTTTTTTTCATATATGCCCTTTTTCCATCCAGAGAAGAACTGAGCTTTTAGTGGTTGTGCAAGGCCACATTCCAGTCCTTTCTGGGGAGAGAGGAGAGGAGGAATCATGTTGGAATCTCATCCTCTGGAGCCCCTGATTTGTGAAGCTGTCACTTTGTTTTGTGGGAACAGGGAGATCTGGAAAACACCACATTTTCCTGCAACCACAGCTGGGCACCAGGCCAGTAAGGGATTAACTCCAACCCTAAACATTTTCTCAGTTTCAGTCCATTTTGGGCAGTTTTGCTGTGGGGCTGGAATGTGGCTGTGCTGCAGTTGTGGTGAGCTGGGAAGGCAGTCTGGGTGTTTTCCTGTGGAGAAGACAAAACTCCCTGTTCCCCTCAGCCTCAGGGAGAAACAGCTGAACATTCCTGCTTCCAGAAGCTTCCCCAGGAGTGCAGGGAAGCTGTGCAGGACTGCAGCATGACCCCAGTGCAGAGTTGGGCCAGGACATGGAATTGTTCCCAGCTTTGCCAGCCACTCCTCTCCAGCTGGATGGGGCACTCCCACCTCATCCTCGGGGGGGAAATCACCTCCTTGCTGCAGGGGCAAGGCTCAGAGCCCTCAAGGACCAAACTGTGAGCAGTGCAGACCCTTAATTACCAAACTGAGCAGTGCAGAATCCTTAATTACCAAACTGAGCAGCTCAGACCCCTGAAGGACCAAATGGAGCAGTGCAGAATCCTTAATTACCAAACTGAGCAGTGCAGACCCTCAAGGACCAAACTGAGCAGCTCAGGACCAAACTGAGCATCTCAGACCCCTTAATTACCAAACTGAGCAGCTCAGAGCCCTCAAGGACCAAACTGAGCATCTCAGACCCCTTAATTACCAAACTGAGCAGCTCAGAGCCCTCAAGGACCAAACTGTGAGCAGTGCAGACCCTTAATTACCAAACTGAGCAGTGCAGACCCTCAAGGACCAAACTGAGCAGCTCAGGACCAAACTGAGCAGTGCAGAATCCTTAATTACCAAACTGAGCAGCTCAGACCCCTGAAGGACCAAATGGAGCAGTGCAGAATCCTTAATTACCAAACTGAGCAGTGCAGACCCTCAAGGACCAAACTGAGCAGCTCAGGACCAAACTGAGCATCTCAGACCCCTTAATTACCAAACTGAGCAGCTCAGAGCCCTCAAGGACCAAACTGAGCATCTCAGACCCCTTAATTACCAAACTGAGCAGCTCAGAGCCCTCAAGAGCTAAACTGAGCAGCTCAGACCCCTTAAGGACCAAACTGAGCAGTGCAGACCCCTTAATTACCAAACTGAGCATCTCAGGACCAAACTGAGCAGCTCAGACCCCTCAAGGACCAAACTGAGCAGCTCAGACCCCTTAAGGACCAAATTGGGCAAGTCAAACCTCTTAATTACCAAGTTGGGCAGCTCAAACCCCTCAAGGACCAAACTCTGAGCAGCTCAGACCCCTTAATTGCCAAACTGAGCAGTGCAGACCCCTTAATTAGCAAATTATGCAGCTCAGACCCCTCAAGGACCAGCTCTGAGCACTAAATCCCTCTTGGGACAAGAGGAAAACCCTCAAACCACAGGAAACCTGGGGGGAAGAACTGTTCTGTGGCTCCTTGAACATGCTGGAGTGAGGAGCAAAGCAGAGTTTGTGTGAGCCTCATCCTCCTGACAAGTGAAAGAAAAGTGAATTAAGGCCTAGCAGTGTAATTTCTTCTATTGCAGGATGTAAATATGACTGTAAATATGATGTAAAATAACACTCAGAGTGTTAAATTTGTCCTTTTCCTGCCACCCCACAGGCCCAGGGGCTGGGGCAGAGTCTGCTCCTGGTGTGCAGCAGTTCACACAGCTCCACATGACACTTTTCTTACAAAAAAAATGTTTTTAATTCTCTGTACAGCAAATAGTTGATCAATTCTTTATCACTCAAAGGAATCTGGAGGAGTTTGACATTCCAGTAACCAGTCCCAGAGTCTTTATCCCAAAGAACCAAAGCAGCTGCTGGAGAATTCAGTTGCACTACTGGAAATTAAATCTAAAATGCCAAAGAAACAGCTGGAAACAGGAGCAGGAGCTGAATCCAGGCTGGCTCAGTGCTTCAGTCTGATTCTCCAGGAATAAGTAGTCAGGATTCTTTCTTTTTTCTTCACTATGCAAGTGTAAGTTCCTTCATTAATTGCATTTGCAATGATGCTCATGTGATCTTCATTTAGGGATAAATACCCTGGATAGGAATATTCCAGAAGTTCCTTGTCTTTGTACCAGCTGTCAGAAGAAAAACAATGGAAGTTAAACTCAGTATTAGTTATTTCTACTAATAAATTTTGTTGAATAAGTGTTGAGCAGAGACTTTGCCAAAACAAATTTGAGTTTTACTCTTTATTTCAGGTGGATAATCAGGGCATAATCAGGAATCATTTTGGAGTCTGAATCCCTGAAAGTTGATGGGAATTTGGGTCCTCAAGTCTAAACCAACTCATGGATTTGAGCCAACCTAAATTTTAGATACATCCAGAACCTGTTCATACTTCAGTAACAGCCAATTCATTAAAACCTGAGAGGGTAAATTTAAATTTTATGGGTTTTTTTCAGAATGCAAATACTTATTTTTTTTAATAGAAAATTATAACAATATTAAAAATTATAAAAATATAAAATATAAAAATTTAGAAATATTTAATAACTATTTTGGAGAATATAAAGAATATAAATATTCAAGCCAGGGAATTTGGCCTGATAATAGGAATTAGCTTTATGCTATATATAAAATTGGATTTTATCCTTTTTGAGCTCCAGATTATAAACCCCATCCTTCTTTATCCTGTTTTTGTCATTCTTCCTGGTGGATTTTGGCACGGGGGGTTCCCAAGGCCTGGATGAGCACAGAGCACTTACTGCACTTTGCCTTTCTTGTGGAGGATTTTCTGCCCGCAGCGGAAGGTGACGTTCCTGCCCTCAGAAACTGTCTTGGTTTTGGTCCTTGGTGGGGGCAGAGTGGGGGGCACCGTTGGAAATGGGAATTCTGTGCAGGGAGAGGAGGAAATGGCAGCAGTGAAGGAGATTTTTCACCCCAAAACACTTGAATTAATACATTTAAGGCTCCTTAAATAATGATTTTGTGGAAAAGTGCCTCCTCTTCCTGAGCAATTCTTGGATAGACAAAGAACATGATTGATGTGCAAAGGTGAAAATTTTGTGGTGATAAAAATCAATTTGTGCCTTTCACAGCTGTGGAAGAGGACGTGACCAGTCCAGTGTGTGAAAAGCCTGTGGAATGTCTGGGTTTGTAATTATCTAATTACACATTTCATTAACGTGACCCAAAACCCCTCTGTGCTGAAGAGGCACTGGTTATCCAGGACATTCCAAGGACAGCAGTTTTTATCTGAACTCAATTTATCTGCCACAGCTGCAGCAGCTTGCCCTGCCTCACCTGGGGCTGGAGAAGGTGATTAACATCCCGTCATTAATCACCTTTCTGTCCTGTTCTGGGAGCAGCTCCAGTCCAGCTGTGCTGGAGGTGTTTGTGTCCTGTTCCTGCCCCATCCTGCTCTGCAAGCCCCTCTCCCTGCCTTGCCACTCCCCGGCTCAGCTAAAGACAGGAATTCAATTCCAGACAGCAATTTCATGTTGGATTATGTTGGAATAATGCTGAATTATTCCTCGTTCCAGGCCTGGATCTGCACTCAGATGCACAAACCACCCCTCTGCTGGGAGCTGGATCAGCTGTATCTCTGCTCCCTGGTGTGAAATGAGGACCCTGCCTGTCCCAGGCTCCTTTCCCCTCCCAGTGCAGCCCCCAGCCCCAGAGGAGCCCCGGTACCGTAGCAGAAGTCGCAGCTGGACGGGCAGTGCTTCTTCATCAGCTTCCTGCGCTTCTCACAGAAACCTTTCCTGGCCCACGAGGGGCACATCAACAACCTGTCCTTGCAGCCTGCAACACAGGAGCTGTTAGAGGGGCTGGGGACACCCAGCAAGCAGCCTGAGGCAGGAAAAGTCAGAAGGAAGAGCGTGGAGCTGGGATGGGGAACGCCCCGAAGCAGGAGAGGTGAGGATGGACCCCACGACTGCTCCAGAGCCTGCAGCTGAGGCGGAGGCTGCAGAGCCCGAGCCCCCTCTCACCGTAGAGCCTGTGGATTCCCCACACCTCGTCCTGGGAAATGCTCTTCTTGCCCGTCAGGGTGGCGTTGATGTGCATGAGCGCGTTGGGGTTCAGCGAGTGCATGAGGCCCAGGGCGTGCCCGATCTCGTGGGCAGCCACGTGCACCAGGTCTGTCAGCCACACTCCTGGGGAGAGAAACCAGCTGGGACTGGGCCCCACGGCTCTGCTTTAGCAGCATTCCTCCTGGGGTGAAACCACAGCAAGGGCTTTGGTGCCTCGGGTTTTGGATTTTCAATTTTTCAGATTCCGCGCTGATTCCTCAAGTTTTAACTTTGCTATTTTCCAGATTCTGTACTAACACCTCAGGTTTTGGCTTTTCTATTTTCCAGATTCTGTAGTGATGTCTCAGGTTTTACCTTTTCTATTTTTCACATTCTGAGCTGCTTTAGTGTGTGGGTCTGGGTTCACATCAGGGCATGGTGAGCTCTGTGCACAGAGCAGGGAGACAAAACAATTCCTGCTCCAGCTGGGCACCAAGGACAAATGATCCAAAGCTCAGCCCAGGAGCACAAACCCCGTGGGCTGGAGAGAGGAAAACAAGGATGGGACTGCAGGGGCTGCAGCTGGGATTGGACACTGAACTGCAACCTGCACATGGAGCAGAGCTGAGCCCAGGGAGAGACCCCGTGAGCATTTTGGGACCATTTGGGTTCACCCTGGGTTCATTTTGGGACCATTTTGGTTCACCTTGGGCTCATTTTGGGACCATTTGGGTTCACCTTGGGTTCATTTTGGGACCATTTTGGTTCACCTTGGGCTCATTTTGGGACCATTTTGGTTCACCCTGGGTTCATTTTGGGACCATTTAGGTTCACCTTGGGTTCATTTTGGGACCATTTTGGTTCACCTTGGGTGCAGCCCTGGCTGGGCTCTTGTGCTGCCCAAGGTGGATCCATGGAGGAGATCCTTTTCATAAATCCCTGCTTTATTCTTGAGCTCTGTCCAGCCTCTGTTCCAGTTCAGTCTCCATAAGGCAAAGCTGCCCCAGGTTCATCTCTGTGTCTCCTTGGGCCCAAATCCAGCCAATAATTTCCATGTGCTTCCATTTTCCAGCAGCAGGACCCAGAGCAGTGCCAGGCTCCAGGAGAGCAGCAATGTTTGACCCAGAGCTACCCTGACCCTCCTCAGCCTCCTGCCCTCTGCTCCCACAGCCCTGAGCTGAAGAAATGGGCTTGGGAAGGTTCCAGGCTGAAAGAGGCTCTTGTTTGACCTCCACAGCCTGCAGTCCAACCCAAGCCTCTTGGCAGCATCCAGCACATGGATTTCAACTGAAGGATGTGCTGAACTATCCAATAATCCCAATAATTCCAGCAAGAAATGGCCCTGCCACCACACAGCTGGGTGGAACAACAACTTCCAACCCCACAACAAAACCCCAACCATTTCTGTTGTCCCTTTCCCAGCTCAGCCAAATCCCAGACTGAAACCTAACCCCAGCCATTCCAGGTGCTCACCTTTCTTCCAGCTGAACCTGGTGTTGCCCAGGATCCAGTACTCGTGGTCATCAAAGTGGATTTCCCCGTGGGGTGGGAAGAAGGCGTGGGCCAGCTCGCCCGTGGTGCCGTCGAAGCAGTGGTGGGTCAGGGACTCCAGGCAGTCTGTGTGGTTGATGGAATAGAAACCTGGGGCAAAAGCAGCAGTTTGAGGGTTATCCAAATGCCTGAAGCTTCACAGCAAGTGTTAATGGTGACATTAATGTTTCCTTGAGCAGACAAAACCACTTTTCCTTTGCCAAACCCCATCCAGGAGCCCACCCAGCACAGGAGAGCCCTCCTGCCCCCCAGATCCCCCATGACGCCCTGGAATTGCTGGAACCCCCTCCCCACAGCTCCCTGGCCCCGTGCAGGGCCGGGGGGCACTCACCGATGGTGAGGTCGCTGGGGAGGTGCCTGGGCACCTCCCTGAAGCTGAACGGGGACACCTCGCTCCACATGCGGAACGCGGCCGCCAGCCCGCGGCGCGTGGCCCTGGCGCTCAGCAGGTTCCTGGGGAAGGACAGGATCCTGCAGGGACACAGCACGTCAGCATCCTCCTCACCCACCAGCCTTGGCTTTTCTGTTCTCCAGATTCTGTGCTGATAGCTCAGGTTTAATTTTTCTGTTCTCCAGATTCTGTGCTGATTCCTCAGGCTTAACTTTTCTATTTTCCAGATTCTGTACTGATATCTCAGTTTTTAGCTTTTCTATTTTCAAGATTCTGTGCTGATTACTCAGATTCAATTTTTCTATTTTCCAGATTCTGTGCTGATTCCTCACGTTATGGCTTTTCTATTTTCCAGATTCTGTACTGATATCTCAGTTTTTAGCTTTTCTATTTTCAAGATTCTGTGCTGATTACTCAGATTCAATTTTTCTATTTTCCAGATTCTGTGCTGATTCCTCACGTTATGGCTTTTCTATTTTCCAGATTCTGTACTGATATCTCAGTTTTTAGCTTTTCTATTTTCAAGATTCTGTGCTGATTACTCAGATTCAATTTTTCTATTTTCCAGATTCTGTGCTGATTCCTCACGTTATGGCTTTTCTATTTTCCAGATTCTGTACTGATATCTCAGTTTTTAGCTTTTCTATTTTCAAGATTCTGTGCTGATTACTCAGATTCAATTTTTCTATTTTCCAGATTCTGTGCTGATTCCTCACGTTATGGCTTTTCTATTTTCCAGATTCTGTACTGATATCTCAGTTTTTAGCTTTTCTATTTTCAAGATTCTGTGCTGATTACTCAGATTCAATTTTTCTATTTTCCAGATTCTGTGCTGATTACTCAGGTTTAACTTTTCTCTTTTCCAGATTCTGTACTGACACCTCAGGTTTTGGCTTTTCTATTTTCCAGATTCTGTGCTGATATCTCAGGTTTTACCTTTTCTGTTTTTCACATTCTTCATTTTGGGACCATTTTGGTTCACCTTGGGTGCAGCCCTGGCTGGGCTCTTGTGCTGCCCAAGGTGGATCCATGGAGGAGATCCTTTTCATAAATCCCTGCTTTATTCTTGAGCTCTGTCCAGCCTCTGTTCCAGTTCAGTCTCCATAAGGCAAAGCTGCCCCAGGTTCATCTCTGTGTCTCCTTGGGCCCAAATCCAGCCAATAATTTCCATGTGCTTCCATTTTCCAGCAGCAGGACCCAGAGCAGTGCCAGGCTCCAGGAGAGCAGCAATGTTTGACCCAGAGCTACCCTGACCCTCCTCAGCCTCCTGCCCTCTGCTCCCACAGCCCTGAGCTGAAGAAATGGGCTTGGGAAGGTTCCAGGCTGAAAGAGGCTCTTGTTTGACCTCCACAGCCTGCAGTCCAACCCAAGCCTCTTGGCAGCATCCAGCACATGGATTTCAACTGAAGGATGTGCTGAACTATCCAATAATCCCAATAATTCCAGCAAGAAATGGCCCTGCCACCACACAGCTGGGTGGAACAACAACTTCCAACCCCACAACAAAACCCCAACCATTTCTGTTGTCCCTTTCCCAGCTCAGCCAAATCCCAGACTGAAACCTAACCCCAGCCATTCCAGGTGCTCACCTTTCTTCCAGCTGAACCTGGTGTTGCCCAGGATCCAGTACTCGTGGTCATCAAAGTGGATTTCCCCGTGGGGTGGGAAGAAGGCGTGGGCCAGCTCGCCCGTGGTGCCGTCGAAGCAGTGGTGGGTCAGGGACTCCAGGCAGTCTGTGTGGTTGATGGAATAGAAACCTGGGGCAAAAGCAGCAGTTTGAGGGTTATCTGCAAATGCCTGAAGCTTCACAGCAAGTGTTAATGGTGACATTAATGTTTCCTTGAGCAGACAAAACCACTTTTCCTTTGCCAAACCCCATCCAGGAGCCCACCCAGCACAGGAGAGCCCTCCTGCCCCCCAGATCCCCCATGACGCCCTGGAATTGCTGGAACCCCCTCCCCACAGCTCCCTGGCCCCGTGCAGGGTCGGGGGGCACTCACCGATGGTGAGGTCGCTGGGGAGGTGCCTGGGCACCTCCCTGAAGCTGAACGGGGACACCTCGCTCCACATGCGGAACGCGGCCGCCAGCCCGCGGCGCGTGGCCCTGGCGCTCAGCAGGTTCCTGGGGAAGGACAGGATCCTGCAGGGACACAGCACGTCAGCATCCTCCTCACCCCTCAGCCTTGGCTCTTCTGTTCTCCAGATTCTGTGCTGACACCTCAGGTTTAATTTTTCTGTTTTCCAGATTCTGTGCTGATTCCTCAGGCTTAACTTTTCTATTTTCCAGATTCTGTACTGATATCTCAGTTTTTAGCTTTTCTATTTTCAAGATTCTGTGCTGATTACTCAGATTCAATTTTTCTATTTTCCAGATTCTGTGCTGATTCCTCACGTTATGGCTTTTCTATTTTCCAGATTCTGTACTGATATTTCAGTTTTTAGCTTTTCTGTTTTCCAGATTCTGTGCTGACACCTCAGGTTTTGGCTTTTCTATTTTCCAGATTCTGTGCTGATTACTCAGGTTTAACTTTTCTCTTTTCCAGATTCTGTACTGACACCTCAGGTTTTGGCTTTTCTATTTTCCAGATTCTGTGCTGATATCTCAGGTTTTACCTTTTCTGTTTTTCACATTCTGAGCTGCTTTAGTGAGTGGGTCTGGGTTCACATCAGGGATGGTGAGCTCTGTGCACAGAGCAGGGAGACAAAACAATTCCTGCTCCAGGCACCAAGGACAAATGATCCAAATCTCAGCCCAGGAGCACAAACCCCGTGGGCTGGAGAGGGAAAAACAAGGATGGGACTGCAGGGGCTGCAGCTGATGGAAATGCCCAGATTTGCTCCTGTTTGGGCCTGGAATTGCACAGAACTTACCTGCTCCCAGGGAAGATCTGCCCTCAGGGAACTGCCTCAAGTGCAGAAACTGGGACCAGACATTCTCTATCCCCTCGGGCTGTTTTTTAGCTATGCTGATTCTGTCCTCCCCTGGTCCCAGCACATCCTAAAGGGAGCAGAAGGTTTTTTGTCAAGCCAGGCTTTGCTCAGGGCAAGCCTGGGCACTGAAGGCTCTCACGGGGCTGAGCCAGTTTGGGGTGAGCAGCAAGGAAGGAGCAGAGCCTCCCCTCAGAACTGTCAGCAAGGGCTTTTATTGTTTATTTGTCAGGGAGAAATCAAGGGAGGTGGCTAAAATCCCACACTAAGCAGCACAACATCAGCAAACTCAGTATTTTTGCTCAAGGGAGGGCTCAGCTTTGAAAAAATCCTGCATTAAAAATTTGGGAATGCTCCCATTGACTTCTGGAACAATATTCAGAAGTTTAGGGCTTGACTCAAGTGCTCAGCTGCTCCCACTAAGGGGTTATTGTGCCTTGCTGAGAGCCCTGAAATCACAGAAATCCTGAGTCCACCTTTCAACAGGGAAAGCCTGAGAGGGCAAATTCAAATTTACCAGTGACTACCCTGTGATTTCCCTCAGTGCTGACTGAGGTTCATACAGAACTCCTAAAAACCCACCAGAATAAAGAGAATTAACCCTCAGTCAGGACCTTCTGAGGAGGGGAGCCTGGCTGTGCCCTGAACAGTCTCACTCCAGCATTTCCCAAAATATTCCCATTTTGCAGTGGCACCAGCAGCTCTCCCTGCCCTGCCAAAAACCACCAAGACCCAAAAACCAGTGTACAGAGCAGCAGAATGCAGCCCCAGGAGCAGTTTTGGGGCTGCCTGCAGGCCTTACTTGTAGGTGAGGTTGAAGTGGTCCCACTTGAGGTGGCCGGGGGTGATGGTGTAACGCCTGGGCCGGGCAGGGGCAGGGCTGGGCACAGCTGGGCCTGGCACGGCTCCCTTCAAGACAAAACAGGACATGGAGACACTCCAGGGCAGCTGGTGCCCTGACATTTAGCTTTTATGTTGAGCTTTTGTGTTTATTTAGCCTGTATGTCTCAGATGCTGCATGAATGAGTAACTGTGAAGTCCACATTAAAGTGTTGGTCGGTGTTTTCACATTTTGGCACACACAAAAATCCCTCCAGGCCTGAGATCCAAGCACACCCCACAGCCTCAGGCCCTGAAAAGCATAAATAAAATTAAATTTCAGGGGGAGAATTGAGGTAAATGACTTCAGCACCTGAAGCTGTAATTGGAGGATTAACCCCTGATATGTAAATGGACCAAACTTTAATTGTGTGAAAAACCTGTGACCATCCTGGGCTGGAAACCCAGAGGTTTGTGAAGACCCAGAGGCTTCTGAAAACCCTCAAAGGTTTCTGAAGACCCAGAGGTTTCTGAAAACCCAGAGGTTTCTGACAACCCTCAGAGGTTTTTCACTGCCCAAGGTGCACCTCTTGAAGGCCTTTAATAAATACCAATTGATTCTCTTCAATAAATCCCAATTTATTTTCTTTTTATTCTCTGCTCCAAGGGGCTTCAGAGTGCAGAATAAAAACCTCCAGAATAAAAACCTGGGGGGCACCTCTGGCTCTGCCTGAGGGGTACCCAAGGGATGAGAGCAGGCCTGCATCATCCCAAAACATCCCAAAGCTGCCCCTCTCCTTCCTGGAGAGCAGGAAGAGCCCTGAGGAGGCTCCTGGCCACGGCAAATCTGCAGCTCTGCCTGGAAATTCTCATTTCCTCCTCCCTGGGCTGTCACTCCCCAGATGTAAATCTGCAGAAATGACTAAAACAGGCAAATCTTTGTGCAGGGAGCTCTTTCAGGGAGCTCTGCAATGCCCCCAGAGCCAACAGGAGCCCTGGAAAGCCTGGAGAGCCTTTAAAGCCTGGACCAGCACAAGAGCTGGAATTGTGTGTGACACGTCTGGCTCCAGCTGGAAAAGCCTTTTAGGGCCTGGAGGGGAATGAATGGGACCCAGAGTGGGGTTTTGGGAAGGCTTCCAGCTCTGTGTCCCCCTTTTTGGGGCTAAAACACTGAAAATTGGGCTCCAGAGGCACCAAGGCAGTGGCCAAGAGCCAGGGCCAGTGGCCCAGCCTGACATTCCAGAGGCAGCAGGAGCTGGCTGCAGCTCCCTCATGGAACAAATGATGCCTCTCGTTCTTATACAGAGAGAAATTAAAGGCATCTTTAATTTTTACACAGATAAAAATTAAAGGCATCTTTAATTTTTATACAGGTATCTATATCTATACATATATATATATATATATGTATGTACACACACACACATATATACAATTTTATATATATATATATATAAAAATATATCGAGTGAGACACTGGCCAACAACCCTGCCCTGAATTATTCACTCAGACAATTCACTCAGACAATTACAACAATTCACTGAGCTGTAATTGTTGTAATTAGTCGAGTGAGACACTGGCCAACAACCCTGCCCTGAATTATTCACTCAGACCTTCACTGAGCTGTAATTGTTGTAATTAACCCCCTTCTCCCTCCCGGTTCCCCTCAAGCCAAACTGCAACACCTGAATTAGGGTTAATTAATAACCTGAGCGTGTCATGCAAATGAGGGCAGGGCCAGGATGCTCACATGCACAAAAACCCTAAAAATTCTTTTTTTTATAGAATTAAAGGCTGAGATGAAGTTAAGGAGAAAGGGAAGATCAGCTCCTGGGGGTCCCGGGGATCCCCCTGGATTTGGGGTGACCCCAAAGAGGCAGCTGAGAGCAGCAGGGCCCAGCTTGGGCCCCACAGCAGGGGCAGGGAAGCTCAGATCAGCTCAGCCCAGCCCAGCTAAGCCCAGCTCAGCTCAGCCCAGCCCATCTAAGCCCAGCCCAGCCAGGCCAGGCTGTGCCACCTCAGCCTGGGCTGGGAGAGCAGAAAATCCCCCGGGATTTTCAGCCCAGGGCAGGGACAGCTCCGAGGGAACCCCTGGGCTCTGCTCCCTCCTGATCCCGGGTGCACAGTGATCAGCTCTGGGATCCCAGGGTGCACAGTGATCAGCTCTGGGATCCCAGGGTGCACAGTGATCAGCTCTGGGATCCCAGGGTGCACAGTGATCAACTCTGGGATCCCCAAGTGCACAGTGATCAGCTCTGGGATCCCCAAGTGCACAGTGATCAACTCTGGGATCCCCAAGTGCACAGTGATCAATTCTGGGATCCCAGGGTGCACAGTGATCAGCTCTGGGATCCTTGGCAAAGGGGCTCCAGCAGCCCTGAACTCCTCCCTTGCCCTTACAGGTGTTCATCTGTTTGGATATTTTTCATTTATAGATCCATTGTTCGATTTAGAGTTATTTATAGTTTTGCTTATATCTATTTATCTGTTTGGACAAGCAATTTAGAGATTTGTTTAGATATTTATCTGTTTAAATCTATGTCTCTAGATCCATTGAGATCTATTTACATATTTAGATTAGATATTTGGACTTTATCCAGTTAGATATGTAGACTTTTATCTAGTTAGATATTTATCTATTTAGATTTATTTAGATCTACTTGTCTATAGATCTACTGAGATTAATTTATCTATTTAGATTAGACAGACATTCATCTGTTTAGGTGCTTATTCAGATCTGTTTAGATCTATATGTCTCCTGATCCACTGAGATCTATTTACATATTTAGATTAGATAATTAGACTTTTCTAGTTAGACATTTATCTGTTGAGATCCATCTGTCCACAGATCTATTCAGATCTATTTAGATTAGACATGAAGACATTTATCTGTTTAGATACTTACCTACTTAGATCTATTTGTCTCTAGATCTATTGAGATCCATTTCCCCATTTAGATTAGATATTCAGACATTTATCTACTTAGATATTGATCCACTTGGATCTATTTTGATCTATTTGTATCTATTCAGGTCTGTTTAGATCTGTCTGCAGATCTATTTATCTATTCAGACCTATTTATCTGCAGACCTATTAGATATATTTATCTATTTAGATTAGATAATTAGACATTTATTTAGGTATTTATCTTAGATCTATTTGTATCTATTTAGGTCTGTAAAGATCTGCTTATCTATTTAGAACTATTCAGACCTATTAGATATATTTATGCATGGATTAGGTATTTATCTCTCTATTTAGACATTTATTTAGACATTTAGCTCCCAGCCTCTAGGCAGAGCCCGCCTGCCCCTCTCCCCTGCCAGGCTCAGATCCCTTCTCCTCACCTGAATGTCCCGAATTCCAGCTGGAGATTGCAGAGCTGCCAGCACGGCCAGCGCCGGGAGCAGACACAGAACGCCCAGCGTGCTCCTCCAGCCCCTGCTCTGCCTCTGCTCCAGGGCCGAGAGCTGCTCTGCCCGATCCATCTCGTCCTGGAGGGGTTTCTGGGGGGTTTTCTTGGGACAGGCTCTCAAGGCATTCCCTGCCCGGAACGCATTTGTGATCCCTGAGCTCACATTTGTGAGCAGCCCTGCAGCTGCTGCCAGAGCTGTGCACAAGCAGGGCAGCTTCAAAAAGCCCTAAAAAAAAAAAAAAATATATTTCTTTTTAAAAAAATAAAAAGAAAAAAAAAAGCAGACTTTACATTAAGCCTCTTTCCAATGTGCCAAAGATTCTCTCAGGCTCTGCCAAGTGGGATCGTGTTACTGCAGCTGAAATTTGGGCTGGCCCAGGAGCAGCAGCAAAGTGAAACAAGCTGGGGTGGACATGAACTCTTCTTTTAACTGTGTGAGCAGCACGGGGCAAATCTGCAGTTGTCAGCTTCATGTAATGAAAAATAAAACCTCAAAATAAATTTAAAAAAAACACACAAAAAAAAAAACCAACCAAAAAAAAACCCAAAAAAAAAAAAAACAAAAAAAAAAAAAAAAAAAAAAAAAAAAAAAACCAAAAAAAAAAACCAGGGGAGAGGGCAGCAAGAGGAATCCAGAAGGGATCATCCCCTTGGAATGTGTCACTGGGGATGCTCCACTCATTTGTCACGGGCTGTCCTGGGTGAAAAATGAGATGCTGGGAGAGCAGGCTGGGCTCTCTGCTCAGGGAGCTGATAGAATCCCCCAAAAGTAAACCCAGCAGCCCCTCTTCCCCCAAGCTTGGCCGGGGAGCTGCAGTTCCTGGGGTGCTTGGGGTGTTTTTGTGTCACGCTGGGCTTGGCCCCCAAAGAGGCTTGGAGGGGTTTGCCTGGGAGCTTCTTTGAGGCATCTCCAGGCACGAATCCATTCAGGGCTTTTTGAAAAAGCTCGCTCAGAAATTCTCAGGTTTTCAGACAACTGAAAAAGCTCACTCAGAAATTCTCAAGTTTTCAGGGACAGCCTAAAAAGCTCACTCAGAAATTCTCAGGATTTCAGCTGAAAATGCTCCCTCAGGAATTCTCAGGTTTTCAGGGACAGCTGCACTTTTCTGTCTCATCCTGAGGTGGGCTGAACTCAACCCCAGTTCTGCCCCCTCAGAGGAAAAGGAATTCTGCAGGCTCCCAGTTCCAGCAGCAAATGCCAGGCAGGGGGAAGGTCAGGCAAAAAAATTCCTTGGGGCATTCGAAAGGTTTCAGAAAAGCCTTGCAATTTTAATAATGAAAAATGCTCTAATAGGAATTTTTTCCAGCCTAGTTCATCATCAAGCCTGCAATGTTTTTTATTAGTTTCATACATTTGCAGCCTCAAGCTGGCCTGGAGCTTTCAAAGAGCTCAGGAGAAATAAAGCCAGTGATCTGGGTGTCCAAATCCATGAACATTTCTGTGCCATTCTCACCAAGACAAACCACCACGGAGTGCAGCAGTGGCTCAGAGCCCAGGAAAGGATGGATGGATGGATGGATGGATGGATGGATGGATGGATGGATGGATGGATGGATGGATGGATGGATGGATGGATGGAATTACAGAGGAAAGAGCAGAAACCCAGGGTCCAGAGCTCTCCTCTGTGGAATTGGTGGAATTGGTGCCCTCAGCTGCTTTCTAGGGATGGTTCCTCCGCACCCAGGCCTGTGCATGGCTCTGGAAAAATCCTGCATTTGCAGCTCCAAAGAGATGCATTTGCAGCTCCAAAGAGATGCAATTGCAGCTCCAAATCCTGCATTTGCAGCTCCAAAGAGATGCAAGTTCAGCCCTGTGGCCTGCATTTGCAGCTCCAAAGAGATGCAAGTTCAGCCCTGTGGGCGTTTGAGCTGCAGTCACAGCACCAAGGGAGAACCCAGCTGATTTTTGCCTCCAGCGCCCGAATTCTCGGTTTCTTTTAGAGCCTGCAGAGAACAGGAAAGTGCTGATGGAGGGGGGAGTCCTGCAGGGAAAGCTGCCTTGAAATGGGCTCCAGACCTCCAGCCAAGAGCTCCTCTCCTCTAAATCCTGCATTTGCAGCTCCAAAGAGATGCAATTGCAGCTCCAAATCCTGCATTTGCAGCTCCAAAGAGATGCAATTGCAGCTCCAAATCCTGCATTTGCAGCTCCAAAGAGATGCAAGTTCAGCCCTGTGGGCGTTTGAGCTGCAGTCACAGCACCAAGGGAGAACCCAGCTGATTTTTGCCTCCAGCGCCCGAATTCTCGGTTTCTTTTAGAGCCTGCAGAGAACAGGAAAGTGCTGATGGAGGGGGGAGTCCTGCAGGGAAAGCTGCCTTGAAATGGGCTCCAGACCTCCAGCCAAGAGCTCCTCTCCTCTAAGGCAGCTCTGGCTCCAAAGAAAAATATTGTTATCAAAGGCAGAGCTGGAAGAACATTGAGTTTCAGCCACGGAACAGCTTCAAGGGCCCTCCCAGAGCCAGGGGGACCCAGCAGGGCTGGAGGGAGATCTTAGCTCATGCACTGCACACCCTCCTCTGCTCTGCTGGAGCAGCTGGGGGCAGTTTAATCCTGACCCAGGGCAGTTTAATCCTGACCTAGAGCAGTTTAATCCTGATTTAGGGCAGTTTAATCCTGATTTAGGGCAGTTTAACCCTCATTTAGGGCAGTTTAACCCTCACCCAGAACAGTTTAATCCTGATTTAGGGCAGTTTACCCCTGACCCAGAGCAGTTTAACCCTGACCCAGAGCAGTTTAATCCTGATTTAGGGCAGTTTAACCCTGACCTAGGGCAGGCTCAGACCCAGCCCTGGGCAGGTGAGATTTGCTCAAGGTCCATGTGGAATTTCCCAGGACCCGAAACTCTCCAAGCACCCACTCAGTGCCTTATTTTTGTGTCACTCACTCATTTTTGTGGCTCTCATTTTTGTGGCACTCACTCATTTTTGTGGCTCTCTCATTTTTCTGAAGAGGAGCAGAAGAACCCAAATTTTAAGCAGGGATTGGGGACTCACACAAGCACAGCCCGAGGGGAGCAAGAATTCCCTTCAGCATGGAAAGGTTTTTGTGAAATACATCTCAGCAGGGCTGAGGGAGTGCACAGAGCATTTTTAGGACCTCGCTGCTCCTGAATGCGTCTCCAGTAAGGGCGAGCAGAGCCAGGAAAACCCTTTTTCCATGAGTCACAGGAGGATTCTGAATGGGGAGAGAGCGTGCTGCACAGGATCTGCCTTCCCTGCGCTGCCTGGATGGAACCTTGGCACCACCTCTGGGACATTTTGGGATCCTCTCCCCTCTCAGGTTATCCCGGGGAGGATCAGAAGGGAGAGCAGGGTTTCTTGGAAAGCACTTTGCTCTCTTGCTCCTCACTGTGCCCATCTCCAGAGAAATCCAGCACATCCAAACCCTGGCTGCAGGGAGCTTTCAAAATTATTCAAGCTGCAGCCAAATATTTGCTGAGAAACCAGCAGAGCACTGAGGCCAAGACAAACCTCGAGTTCTAGGGAATGAGAGTCAGCTGAGGAGAGGCTCCAGCACTCCAGCTGGAGCCTTGGGAACTTTGCTGATGAAAGCCCTGCTCCTCTGGAGGCAGCAGGGCACAGAACCCTCGCGGCACTGCTTGGATTTCTGGGAATTACTGAGGATCTGCACCTCTGACTTTCACACCAAAGCTGATCCTCACATTCAGCTTCAGCTTATTTGGGTGCTAATCAGGAGCCAAACAAATAATTTAGGGGTAAAATCTGATCCACTTTCACAGCTTTAAAAAAAAAATCTATTAAAACTGTAACAAACCCAAGGGAGTATTTGGATAAATGTTATCTCTAGAAGCCAAGAACTGGTGAATAACTTTCTGAATAAACCAGATAAATGGTTTAAATAAATAATCAATGTTCCCATCACCACCACACAGTTCCACACTGTTGAAAAGATCTGCCCCCTCTTTGCTAACGAACAAAGGGAGCAGAGGAACACTGGAAGTTTTGTTTTGTTTGTTTAAATATTGCTTCCAAGATGTGACAAACAGGAGGTTTGGGCACCACTGTACCACCAGACCCCAGACAAACAGCCACACTTCCACCAAAATTTACTTTACAGGATGGCTGAGTGCTGATAATTCTCCACTCAGCTGGAAAACAATACAGCTACTGTTTGTACATTCATTTTTAATGCTCAGGAAAATAGATATTTTTATTTTATTAAGTTTTGCTGCAAAACAAAGAAACAAAAATGAAATCCCTTTTTTGTTTGTTTTTTCCCCTCCTCCCCCTCGTATCTTAATTATTACTATTTATTTTCTTTACACTTTGATTGGAGTATTTAACACCTGCCTTTGGCATTATGGATAGAAAGCTCAGGAGTCTCTGAACACACGGCTCTGCCAAAAAAATGAAATAAAATATGGAAGAAGAAGAAGAAGAAGAAGAAGAGTGTCACTTAGAGGTCAGAGATTTGTTGTAACAGATTTTCTCCAGTCAGTGTTCACTACTTTTTCTCTAAGGCACACGCTCTGTCTTGGGCTGCACAGGGGACAGCCCCTCCCTGGCCCTGTGTCCCTGGCACCCGGGCCAGCTGCTCCTGGGACCTCCCCGGGAGCTGGGAGCTCTCCTGGATGCCTCTGGAGCACCCCAGGATCTGCCCAGCTCTGAGACATCCCAGGATCAGCTCAGCTCTGGGACACCCCAGGATCTGCTCAGCTCTGAGAATCCCAGGATCTGTTCAGCTCTGGGACATCCCAGGATCTGTTCAGCTCTGGGACACCCCAGGATCTGCTCAGCTCTGGGACACCCCAGGATCTGTTCAGCTCTGAGACATTCCAGGATCTGTTCACTCTGGAACATTCCAGGATCTGTTCACTCTGGAACACCCCAGGATCTACTCAGCTCTGGGACACCCCAGGATCTGCTGAGCTCTGGAACACCCCAGGATCAGCTCAGCTCTGGGACACCCCAGGATCAGCTCAGCCCTGGGACACCCCAGGATCTGTTCACTCTGGAACATCCCAGGATCTGCCCAGCCCCGCTCTGAAGCGTGGTCAGTCCGGTGGTTCTGGATGAGCAGCACAAGTGAGGCAGGGGCTGTCCCTTCCCTGGGACACCCCAGAGGGGACTCCTCCTCCTCCTCTTCCTCCTCCTCCCCTGGCACATCCCTCCTGTGCTCCCCTCCTTCTCCCAGGCAGCCAAACCCCTGCGGAGGGAGGAAGCACAGCAGGGCTGGGGCCGGGGAGGAGCACCCTCAGCCAGGATGGGGATCCTGTCCTGGATGGCCTGGAGGCAGATGGGGGTGGAGGAACATCCTCAGACAAAGATGTGGATCCTCTCCTGGGCAGATGGAACAGTCAGGAGCAGCATCCTCAGCCAAGATGGGGATCCTCCCCCAGGCAGATGGGAAACAGGGAGGAGCAGCATGGATCCTCTCCTGGGTGGCCTGGAGGCAGATGGGGGTGGAGGAACATCCTCAGAGGAAGATGTGGATCCTCAAAGATGTGGATCCTCTCCTGGGTGGCCTGGAGGCAGATGGGGGTGGAGGAACATCCTCAGAGGAAGATGTGGATCCTCAAAGATGTGGATCCTCTCCTGGATGGCCTGGAGGCAGATGGGGGTGGAGCAGCATCCTCAGACAAAGATGTGGATCCTCTCCTGGGCAGATAGGACTCAGTCAGGGCAGGAGAGGAGCAGCATCCTCAGAGGAAGATGTGGATCCTCAAAGATGTGGATCCTCTCCTGGATGGCCTGGAGGCAGATGGGGGTGGAGCAGCATCCTCAGACAAAGATGTGGATCCTCTCCTGGGCAGATAGGACTCAGTCAGGGCAGGAGAGGAGCAGCATCCTCAGAGGAAGATGTGGATCCTCTTGTGGATAGGGTGGAGGCAGATGGGACACAGGGAGGAGGAGCATCCTCAGCCAAGATGGGGATCCTGTCCTGGATGGCCTGGCAGCAGATGGGGGTGGAGGAACACCCTCAGAGGAAGCTGTGGATCCTGTTCTGGATGTCCTGGAGGCAGATGGGGCACAGGGAGGAGGAGCATCCTCAGAGGAAGATGTGGATCCTCCCCCAGCTTGCCTGGAGGCAGATGGGGGTGGAAGAACACCCTCAGACAAATATGAGGATCCTGTCCTGGGCAGATGGAGCACAGGGAGGAGGAGCAGCCTCAGACAAAGATGTGGATCCCCTCCTGGATGGCCTGGAGGCAGATGGGGGGTGACGGAACACCCTCAGAGGAAGCTGTGGATCCTCCCCCGGGGCAGATGGGGGTGGAGGAACACCCTCAGACAAAGATGTGGATCCACCTCTGGGCAGATGGGGCACAGGGAGGAGGAACACCCTCAGAGGAAGCTGTGGATCCTCCCCCAGAGCAGACAGGGCACAGGGAGGAGGGGTACCCTCAGATGAAGATGTGGATCCTGTCCTGGATGGCCTGGAGGCAGATGGGGCTGATGGAACTCCCTCAGACGAAGATGTGGATCCTGTCCTGCATGGCCTGGCGGCAGATGGGGCACAGGAGGAGCAGGCTCAGACAAAGATGTGGATCCTGTCCTGCATGGCCTGGCGGCCGATGGGGCACAGGGAGGAGGAGCACCCTCAGACAAAGATGTGGATCCTCTCGCGGATGGCCTGGCGGCAGATGGGGCACACGGTCAGCGCCGTGCTGCAGTCTGGGCACGAGCCGTGCCCGCACTGGAACACCAGCTTGATCTGGTCGTCGATGCAGATGGGGCAGGTGATCCTCTCCTCCATCTGCCGGTAGCGGCTCTGCAGCTCCTCCATCAGCTTCCTCTGCTCCGTGCCCTCCGAGCTGGGGCTGCACTCCACCTCCGTGCTGTCTGTGGGCAGAGAGCAGCCTTAATTAACTCATTAACTCCTCCTTGTGCCCCTCCCAGCAGCAGCATCCCACTCACACTGCACTCTGCCTCAAAAAAAACCCTTGGGGTGATGCTTTTTTTTTTTTAACTCACTCAGTGCTTTTGTTTGTTTGGGATGGTTTGGTGGTTTGGGTTTTCTTTAAGTCCTGTCTGAAATTCCTGCCGTGGTGCTCTGGAATATGCTGCTCACTTCAAGTGAAAATATTCAAGGTTGGTTGTGATATTCTGCCCCACTAATCAAGGAATCCTTACAGGATCCATACTGTGTCCCCTCAGCCTCCTGGTCACACCTGGGACTCCAATTTCTGCCCAAGAAATGTCTGAAAAATGAGTGTGCGTCTTTCAGCACACACATGGTCAAACAAAAAGAAACCATCTGAACACCTGTGTTGAGTTTTACAGTTTTCATTTCCATAAATGAAGAGTTTTACATAAATAAGAGTCATTTGGTGAAATGAAAGAATCCCAAATCCTGGGCAATGGGAGTTTGGGTAAATATTCTCAGTGCAGCTCCCACTGCTCATTTTCTGCTCCTGAATCACTGATTTCCACTGTGATTTACTGATTTACTCCACTACAGATGTCCCATTCCCAGTTCTGGAATTAGCTCCACATCAGTGGTGCAAGAAGTGATTTCAAGCCCAGTCCTTGGGGACAGGGAGCTTGTCAAAGGCAAGCACCGAAGACATCACTGCCAGGGAAATCCTGCTGGTATTTCAGAGACCTTGATGCTCCTCCTCCACTGGAAACTTGCCTGCAATGTCCTCTTTGGAATTCCCATCATCATTTTGCTGCCAGTCTGCAGCAGAGACAAATGCTCCTGGGCAGAGTCAGGTCTCCAGGGGTACTTTTGGCAGGATGGAGCTGCAGAGAGGAGCTCTGGCTCTGCCAGCTGTGCCTGTCCAATGCCATGGGAATGATTCCTGCTTTTTTTCCAGGCATCAAGTCACAAGGCTGACTCCAAAAAAAGCCCACAATGCTCAGTCACATGCAGGACACGCAATTAAATCCTCACATGCCCTGAGAGTGATCTCAGTGGCAATTTGCATCGACCCCATGGCAAAAGCAAACCCTGCTGCTGCCCTGCTGATATCACAGCTCCTCCTGACACTGGAAATGTGGACAGGAGAGAAATCTGGGCTGAAAACTTTATTGAAATACTCCAACTCTGAGATTTCTGCATAGCTGGGTGATGCCAGCCCTGCACAGACACTGATTTCTCAGCCAGGGGAGGAGCAAGGCTTGCACAAGGTGAAATTTTCCCTCCCTCCTGAATTTTCACTGTTAAACCTGACTGCTTTTAATACACAAAATAAGCCAGGCCCAGGTAAAGCTCCCTTAAATGTCCTGTCCTGTGCAGCTTGAGCTTGGCTGAGACACCTGAGAAAATCTATTAAAATAAACTTTTTTTCCCTCTCTAAAGGTGGATAACACAACAGGCACACATACACACACAAAGCCCAAAGAAATGAACTCTTAATTGACTGAAAATCAGTGATGCCCCTCAAGCTAAGCCTGGGCAGGACCCTCCCCACAGCCCTGAGCAGCAGGACATACCTTGTTTCAGCTTTTTGGTTATTGTCACTTGACATTTGATGCACTTCTTCATCCTCCTGGAGCACTCTGCCACAAGGAGAGATGACAATTAAACCCACAGCAGACTCAAGAAGATCAGATTTGAACAACCTGAGCCTCCCTGGGTGGCTGAGGGATTGTTCCTGCACGGAATGAGGTCACCACCTGCTTTCTGAGCTGTGCCCTGCTCTTTTATTTAATCTTTCCCAGGTCAGCAGCAAACACATCACCTTAAATCCCCCCAATTCCTCTGCTCTGAGCCCCTGGAGCTGCTGCAGCTCTGGGGGAAGAGGATGAAGCTCTGGCACAGAGGTCAGAGCAAACTCCCTGTGCTCACTCACTCTGTGCCTTGTGAGATGAACTTGCTGCCCTTCAATCAGCTGAAATCCCAAAGAATGAAGAGTTAGGAGAGGGAAATCCTTCTCAGGAGGTTTCTGGGGGGTAAAGCACTGACAGCCACAACTGGCTCTCCCTCTGAATTACTCAGGCCCCACAAAGCTGCCCGGAGCCCCCAGCAGCAGGTGGGCAGAACATTTTGTGGTTTTCAGAGATAATTTTGGCTGTCTGAGATGCTGAAATCATCCTGGGGTTGCTTCAGGACACAAACAGCACAAAAGCTCTGTGTGTGAGCAGGGCTGGATTTCTGACAGGGGCAAAGAGAGAGGCTGGCAAGAAAACCATGAGGAAAAAAAATGGGGGGAAAAAAAAATCAGTGTGGACTCACCTTCACACACAATACTGTGCTGGCACGGGAAGAAATGGATGAGCAAGGCCAGCTCTGAGCAGACCAGGCACTCTGTGGGCACTGCCAGGCTGGAGACACTGAGGTTGGTCATGGTGTTGGGCGTGGTGTGCACACGGCGAAGGCTGCAGGTGATGCTGGAGCTCCCAGAAGAAACCTGCTGATCCCTGCAAGTGTCAGAGATGAGAGCCACCAGCTCCTTCAGCAGTGGGTCACGTCAGCTTGAGCCTTTTTCTGACTCAAGATGAGGTAACTAAAAGGTGTTTTAATGTTTTTATTTCATTTTTCATTGTTCTATTGCTCTAAAGTATGAAATCTTTTTTTTAAAGTTATCCTTTAAAACTTGTTCCTAATTCAGTTTCCCTCTCAACAATGTCTGTCCAGCCTCACTTCAGCCCTCCACACTCCAGAGCAAACAGGACACGCTCAGGGTGACATCCTGAGGGTCCCAGACATTCTCCATCCCCCCTGGAGCAGCTCCAGAGGGTCTCAGGGATTCTCCATCCCCCCTGGAGCAGCTCCAAAGGGTCTCAGGGATTCTCCATCCCCCCTGGAGCAGCTGCAGAGACACCAGGGCTGGGGGAATCTCTGATTTCCAAGGGTTTCCTGAGGCTCACCTGAATTTCTGTGAGAAGTCTTTGACAATCTGGACAATCCTCCCATCTGTGATGAGGTCCAAAGGAGACTTTCCCCGATGATTTGCATAATTAATATCTGCTCCTTCTTGTGCTAAGTAGCAGGCCATGGCAGTCCCAACGTTCAGCTCCACATTTCCCAGCAAGCCAGAAGCCTGCAGCTAAAAGAAATTGAGAAAAACACTCTGAAATACACTCCCAAGCTTTGATTTTCTGCTCTGATCTGCATCAAAATCTAAATAAAGTCTTAAACCTTGTACTTGAGACTTGGAAGTGCAACTTTTTGAAAGCACACAGAGGTTGTTTTTGTAAATAATGGGTTCAAATTTTACACTGCAGGGCCAGGAGTGCCTCAGAGTGACCCTACCTGGTGATTACCCCTACAAATCAGAGAAATGGGCATTAATTTCTCTGCAATTAAGAAGCTGGAGGCCCCACAGGGCTGCTGAGCAGCTGCTGCAGGGTGACAGCTATTTCAGGAGCCAAACTGATGTGCATGATCCCAAATAATTCCCAGGCAAGTCACATATTCCACTGACTTGCCCAGCCAGAGAGGGTCAGCAGGGCAGGGAGAAGGAGATGGGAAGGAATTCACAGCACTCGGGGTGCTGTCACTGTCAGACATGCTGGGAGGGACAGGCAGGGCAGGGAGAAGGAGATGGGAAGGAATTCACAGCACTCGGGGTGCTGTCACTGCCAGACATGCTGGGGGGTCAGGAGGGGAGGGAGAAGGAGATGGGAGGGAATTCACAGCACTCGGGGTGCTGTCACTGTCAGACATGCTGGGAGGGTCAGCAGGGCAGGGAGAAGGAGATGGGAAGGAATTCACAGCACTCGGGGTGCTGTCACTGCCAGACATGCTGGGGGGGACAGGCAGGGCAGGGAGAAGGAGATGGGAAGGAATTCACAGCACTCGGGGTGCTGTCACTGTCAGACATGCTGGGGGGACAGGCACAGATCCCCTGGGCACTGCCAGGGCTCTGGCCCTGCACTGAGCGTCGGTGTCCTGGCTGGGCAAGGGGAAAGATGGGGCTAAAAATGGGGAATGGGTGCTTGCACTTATCCTAATCATTTCAAATATAACAGGAAATAATAATAATAATAATAATAATAATAGTAATTGTAATAGCAATAATAATAATAATAATAATAATAATAATAATAATAATAGCAATAAGAATAATAGTAATAGCAATAATAATACTAATAATTTCATAACAGTAAATAATAAAATAATAAAATACAATTAAATCATAATAACAACAATAATAAAATAAGAATAAAAATTAAATAAAAATAAAAGAAGAAAAATAAAATCAAATAAATTAATAATACGAAATTTAACAATAATAAGCATTAGAATCATTAACATATAACATATAATATAATAACACATATAATATTTAATATATTTAATATATTATTGTACATTATAATGACAATATAATGACATATAATGTAATAACATATAATAACATAACATTAATATAATATAATATAATATAATATAATATAATATAATATAATATAATATAATATAATATCAGCAACAATATACATATATTTAAAATAAGTATTATCTATATCATATGTAATACACAAAATACACAAAATTACACAAAAATCACACAAGAATCACACCCAAATCCCTAAAGCACCACGTTCTGTGAGTGTGCTGCTGCCCCTCTGCTCACCTTGGCCAGCAGGGTGCCCCCCATGTCCCCGTCCCTCTTCTCCAGGGCCAGGGCCATGAGCTGCTGGCGCTCCAGGGCGATGTGCATGGCCGTGTCCCCATCCTCATCCTCGGCATTGACGTCGCTGCCCTGGCTCACCAGCAGCTGCACCATGCCCACGTGGCCCTGGATCACTGCCAGGTGCAGCGGGCTCTGCTTCCTGCTGTTCTTCACGTTCACGTCACAGCGACCCTGGAAAGGCAGGGATTGCAGCAGGGGATGAGCTCTGAGTGCTGAGCTGGCACTGCGGGGCCTGGCAGCTCCCAAATCCCACTGCACCTTTGCTGAGTTATCTGCTCCTCACACTGATCTGTCAGACAATAACATCCTGTTCTGAGCCAGGGATGGGGCAGCTGAGAGGTGTCTGAAAAACTTTTATTCCATTTTCCATCTCGTGTGAAGGGTGATGCAATACAGATGTTATAATTCACTCCACCACAATCAGGAGTTAACTATTTCCTAATTACAATACACTGTGTTTCTTGGCTTATCAGTTTCAGTTATACCATGTTGTAAATGCTTTAAAGTCAATAATGTAAAATCATCTCTTGTGGGACCTTGCAAAAGCAGGAATTGCAGCACAGGGATGAGCTCTGAGTGCTGAGCCTGGCACTGTGGGGCCTGGCAGCTCCCAAATCCCACTGCACCTTTGCTGGGTTTAGCTGAGTTATCTGCTCCTCACACTGATCTGTCAGACAATAACATCCTGTTCTGAGCCAGGGATGGGGCAGCTGAGAGGTGTCTGAAAAACTTTTATTCCATTTTCCGTCTCATGGGAAGGGTGAGACACTACAGATGTTATAATTCACTCATCACAATCAGGAGTTAACTATTTCCTAATTACAATACACTGTAAGTGTTTCTTGGCTTATCAGTTTTAGTTATACCATGTTGTAGATACTTTAAAGTCAATAATGTAAAATCACCTCTTGTGGGACCCTGCAAAGGCAGGAATTGCAGCATGGGGATGAGCTCTGAGTGCTGAGCTTGGCTGCAGAGCTGGCACTCTGGGGCCTGGCAGCTCCCAAATCCCACCCCACCTTTGCTGAGTTTAGCTGAGTTACCTGCTCCTCACAAGGAGCACCAATTTGTTGGACAATCCACATTTCCTTACCCAGAGTTGGTGTTTGAAAAACTTTTATTCCATTTTCAGTCTCATGTGAAGGATGAGACAGTACACATGTTGTAATTCACACCATCATAATCAGAAGTCAGCTATTCCCTAATTACATTTTAAGTGTTTCTTGGCTTATCAGTTTCAGTTATACCATGTTATAAATGCTTTAATCATCTAAAATCACCCCTCGTGTGACCCTGCAAAAGCAGGAATTGCACCATGGGGAGATGGGGCTGCTGAGCCTGGCTGCAGAACTCAGAGTGTGGCCCTGCAGCTCCCAAATCCCACTGCACCTTTGCTGAGTTATCTGCTCCTCACACTGATCTGTCAGACAATAACATCCTGTTCTGAGCCAGGGATGGGGCAGCTGAGAGGTGTCTGAAAAACTTTTATTCCATTTTCCATCTCGTGTGAAGGGTGATGCAATACAGATGTTATAATTCACTCCACCACAATCAGGAGTTAACTATTTCCTAATTACAATAAACGGTGTTTCTTGGCTTATCAGTTTCAGTTATACCATGTTGTAAATGCTTTAAAGTCAATAATGTAAAATCATCTCTTGTGGGACCTTGCAAAAGCAGGAATTGCAGCACAGGGATGAGCTCTGAGTGCTGAGCCTGGCACTGCGGGGCCTGGCAGCTCCCAAATCCCACTGCACCTTTGCTGGGTTTAGCTGAGTTATCTGCTCCTCACACTGATCTGTCACTCAATAACATCCTGTTCTGAGCCAGGGATGGGGCAGCTGAGAGGTGTCTGAAAAACTTTTATTCCATTTTCCGTCTCATGGGAAGGGTGAGACACTACAGATGTTATAATTCACTCATCACAATCAGGAGTTAACTATTTCCTAATTACAATGCACTGTAAGTGTTTCTTGGCTTATCAGTTTTAGTTATACCATGTTGTAGATACTTTAAAGTCAATAATGTAAAATCACCTCTTGTGGGACCCTGCAAAGGCAGGAATTGCAGCATGGGGATGAGCTCTGAGTGCTGAGCTTGGCTGCAGAGCTGGCACTCTGGGGCCTGGCAGCTCCCAAATCCCACCCCACCTTTGCTGAGTTTAGCTGAGTTACCTGCTCCTCACAAGGAGCACCAATTTGTTGGACAATCCACATTTCCTTACCCAGAGTTGGTGTTTGAAAAACTTTTATTCCATTTTCAGTCTCATGTGAAGGATGAGACAGTACACATGTTGTAATTCACACCATCATAATCAGAAGTCAGCTATTCCCTAATTACATTTTAAGTGTTTCTTGGCTTATCAGTTTCAGTTATACCATGTTATAAATGCTTTAATCATCTAAAATCACCCCTCGTGTGACCCTGCAAAAGCAGGAATTGCACCATGGGGAGATGGGGCTGCTGAGCCTGGCTGCAGAACTCAGAGTGTGGCCCTGCAGCTCCCAAATCCCACTGCACCTTTGCTGAGTTTAGCTGAGTTACCTGCTCCTCACAGAAGCACCAATTTGTCAGACAATAATTCATTTCCTGACCCAGGGATGGGGCAGCTGAGAGGTGTCTGAAAAACTTTTATTCCATTTTCCGTCTCATGGGAAGGGTGAGACACTACAGATGTTATAATTCACTCATCACAATCAGGAGTTAACTATTTCCTAATTACAATACACTGTAAGTGTTTCTTGGCTTATCAGTTTTAGTTATACCATGTTGTAGATACTTTAAAGTCAATAATGTAAAATCACCTCTTGTGGGACCCTGCAAAGGCAGGAATTGCAGCATGGGGATGAGCTCTGAGTGCTGAGCTTGGCTGCAGAGCTGGCACTCTGGGGCCTGGCAGCTCCCAAATCCCACCCCACCTTTGCTGAGTTTAGCTGAGTTACCTGCTCCTCACAAGGAGCACCAATTTGTTGGACAATCCACATTTCCTGACCCAGAGTTGGTGTTTGAAAAACTTTTATTCCATTTTCAGTCTCATGTGAAGGATGAGACAGTACACATGTTGTAATTCACACCATCATAATCAGAAGTCAGCTATTCCCTAATTACATTTTAAGTGTTTCTTGGCTTATCAGTTTCAGTTATACCATGTTATAAATGCTTTAATCATCTAAAATCACCCCTCGTGTGACCCTGCAAAAGCAGGAATTGCACCATGGGGAGATGGGGCTGCTGAGCCTGGCTGCAGAACTCAGAGTGTGGCCCTGCAGCTCCCAAATCCCACTGCACCTTTGCTGAGTTTAGCTGAGTTACCTGCTCCTCACAGAAGCACCAATTTGTCAGACAATAATTCATTTCCTGACCCAGGGATGGGGCAGCTGAGAGGTGTCTGAAAAACTTTTATTCCATTTTCCGTCTCATGGGAAGGGTGAGACACTACAGATGTTATAATTCACTCATCACAATCAGGAGTTAACTATTTCCTAATTACAATACACTGTAAGTGTTTCTTGGCTTATCAGTTTTAGTTATACCATGTTGTAGATACTTTAAAGTCAATAATGTAAAATCACCTCTTGTGGGACCCTGCAAAGGCAGGAATTGCAGCATGGGGATGAGCTCTGAGTGCTGAGCTTGGCTGCAGAGCTGGCACTCTGGGGCCTGGCAGCTCCCAAATCCCACCCCACCTTTGCTGAGTTTAGCTGAGTTACCTGCTCCTCACAAGGAGCACCAATTTGTTGGACAATCCACATTTCCTGACCCAGAGTTGGTGTTTGAAAAACTTTTATTCCATTTTCAGTCTCATGTGAAGGATGAGACAGTACACATGTTGTAATTCACACCATCATAATCAGAAGTCAGCTATTCCCTAATTACATTTTAAGTGTTTCTTGGCTTATCAGTTTCAGTTATACCATGTTATAAATGCTTTAATCATCTAAAATCACCCCTCGTGTGACCCTGCAAAAGCAGGAATTGCACCATGGGGAGATGGGGCTGCTGAGCCTGGCTGCAGAACTCAGAGTGTGGCCCTGCAGCTCCCAAATCCCACTGCACCTTTGCTGAGTTTAGCTGAGTTACCTGCTCCTCACAGAAGCACCAATTTGTCAGACAATAATTCATTTCCTGACCCAGGGATGGGGCAGCTGAGAGGTGTCTGAAAAACTTTTATTCCATTTTCCGTCTCATGGGAAGGGTGAGACACTACAGATGTTATAATTCACTCATCACAATCAGGAGTTAACTATTTCCTAATTACAATACACTGTAAGTGTTTCTTGGCTTATCAGTTTTAGTTATACCATGTTGTAGATACTTTAAAGTCAATAATGTAAAATCACCTCTTGTGGGACCCTGCAAAGGCAGGAATTGCAGCATGGGGATGAGCTCTGAGTGCTGAGCTTGGCTGCAGAGCTGGCACTCTGGGGCCTGGCAGCTCCCAAATCCCACCCCACCTTTGCTGAGTTTAGCTGAGTTACCTGCTCCTCACAAGGAGCACCAATTTGTTGGACAATCCACATTTCCTGACCCAGAGTTGGTGTTTGAAAAACTTTTATTCCATTTTCAGTCTCATGTGAAGGATGAGACAGTACACATGTTGTAATTCACACCATCATAATCAGAAGTCAGCTATTCCCTAATTACATTTTAAGTGTTTCTTGGCTTATCAGTTTCAGTTATACCATGTTATAAATGCTTTAATCATCTAAAATCACCCCTCGTGTGACCCTGCAAAAGCAGGAATTGCACCATGGGGAGATGGGGCTGCTGAGCCTGGCTGCAGAACTCAGAGTGTGGCCCTGCAGCTCCCAAATCCCACTGCACCTTTGCTGAGTTTAGCTGAGTTACCTGCTCCTCACAGAAGCACCAATTTGTCAGACAATAATTCATTTCCTGACCCAGGGATGGGGCAGCTGAGAGGTGTCTGAAAAACTTTTATTCCATTTTCCGTCTCATGGGAAGGGTGAGACACTACAGATGTTATAATTCACTCATCACAATCAGGAGTTAACTATTTCCTAATTACAATACACTGTAAGTGTTTCTTGGCTTATCAGTTTTAGTTATACCATGTTGTAGATACTTTAAAGTCAATAATGTAAAATCACCTCTTGTGGGACCCTGCAAAGGCAGGAATTGCAGCATGGGGATGAGCTCTGAGTGCTGAGCTTGGCTGCAGAGCTGGCACTCTGGGGCCTGGCAGCTCCCAAATCCCACCCCACCTTTGCTGAGTTTAGCTGAGTTACCTGCTCCTCACAAGGAGCACCAATTTGTTGGACAATCCACATTTCCTGACCCAGAGTTGGTGTTTGAAAAACTTTTATTCCATTTTCAGTCTCATGTGAAGGATGAGACAGTACACATGTTGTAATTCACACCATCATAATCAGAAGTCAGCTATTCCCTAATTACATTTTAAGTGTTTCTTGGCTTATCAGTTTCAGTTATACCATGTTATAAATGCTTTAATCATCTAAAATTACCCCTCGTGTGACCCTGCAAAAGCAGGAATTGCACCATGGGGAGATGGGGCTGCTGAGCCTGGCTGCAGAACTCAGAGTGTGGCCCTGCAGCTCCCAAATCCCACTGCACCTTTGCTGAGTTTAGCTGAGTTACCTGCTCCTCACAGAAGCACCAATTTGTCAGACAATAATTCATTTCCTGACCCAGGGATGGGGCAGCTGAGAGGTGCTTGAAAAACTTTTTCTTGATTTTGGTTTATTTGGTTTTGGTTTATTTCTTACCTCTTTGATGAGAATTTCAGCCACTTCCAAGTGGTTGTTGAGGGCAGCAAGGTGCAGGGCAGTGAATCCATCCTCCTTTTTGGAGTCCACCAGCTGTCGAGCCCTGGCCAGAATTTTCTTTATGGCTCTGCAGAGTTGGAGAGGTTATTAAAGATGGAAGAATGAATTTGTGCCTCCTCTGTCAGGAGTTATCCATGCCCATGTGGTGCTGACACCAGCAATGAAGAGCAGTCCCTCAAACCCAAAAACTGAATTACCAGAATACAACAAAAGCCTTTAGTTATCTTTAATAAAATAGGGAAAAGCCACATTGCTTTGAAAGTAATGAGGAATTTCTCTTTGGAAGAGTTCCAGAGGCTCCCAGGCTTTCTAAGACCCAAATATCTGAGAGTGTCCAGAATCAGTGAGATCCCCAGCCTAGGGAAGCATGAGAAAGATGAGATGGGGAAAGCAGGCAGGAGTTTCCTGTGAAGGCCTGAAGGAGCTTATCCAAACCCAAGAAATGTTTAACCAACTACCCAGAACCACATCTGCCAAGCACAAATTAACACCTGCAAAAGGCATAAAAATGGGGGAAAAAAAGGAAACAAAAGAAAGGTGACTTACAGCTTGTTGCCTTTCAGGGCAGAATAGTGGAGCAGGTTGAAGCCTTGACAGTTCTTGACGGTGAAATCGATGTTGGGAACTTCAGTGAGAATCTCAATCACCACTTTGTAGTCCAGGGTGATAGCATAATGCAGGGGGGTGTCTCCCCGGGCATCCTACACATGGAGACCAAAGCAAACCCAGGTTAGCAACCCCAGAAACCCCAGGGAAACCCCCTGGGAGCTGCTGGAAATCCAGAGCAGCTCTGAGGGATGGCCCAGCACAGAACAGCCCCTCCAGCACACAATAAACCCTAAACATGGGCAGGGTCCGAGTCACCATCACTGCCTGGCCTTAAAAATGTTAAAAATCTTGGTTTTGAGAGCAGGAGTGTGGCCACAACACACAGGAACAGCAGCTCAGCTCTCCCTGGAAGCCTGAGCAGAGCAGAAAACGCTGATGTGATGAAGAAGGGGCAGACTCAGAGCTGGAATTCAGGGTACTGAAATTCAGGAATATTTCCCAGTGCCTCTTCAGAGGACAAATCTGACTTCTACAAAGTCACAGATGGTGTGAGACACAAAGAAGTATTATTATTGTTGTTAATAATGAAGGGATGGGACTATTTCTGGAAGAACAATTTATTGTTTAGATAAACATTGGTCTCAGAGATTGTGAAATTTTAAAGGAGCAAGCAGTTGGCTATAGCTTAAGAGTAGTCACAAATTCTTTGTTAGAAAATATTTTTTTTTTAAGCTAATATATATTAGATTAAAATAGATCAAAATAGTTGTTGCAAGGTTTCTTTTGTTTTTCTAACTTATTACCTTTACTTAATCTTGTTGCACTGTGGATATTTTTATCTAATGGGTTTCTGTCTCATGTCTGTATATATGTTTCTATTATAACTTCTAAATTCTTAGCTTATTTATATAACTACACTTTTACTTCATAAACTCTTCACTATTTTATCAATACAGCTTCTTGATATATTCTTACTTACAACTATAGAAACATAAGTTTATGTTTTTTCTGCTTTAATGTCTGTATTGTATTTTTACATTAATCTAAGCTCCTCTCGAGGCTGTAAATGAGACTTTTCTCACAAAGAAGCACCTCCCCACCTCAAAATAAAAACCAAAAAAATCCTCCAGCACCTCCCTGGCCCAAAAGCCTGCAGTAATCCCAAACTTACTGGGAGGTTGACATCACAGTTGAGCTCACAGAGGGCTCTCACCACCTCGGTGAAGCCTTGGCTGACAGCGACGAACAGGGCTGTGCACTTGGCATTGTTCAGCAGGTCTGCACTGGCCCCCTTGGCCAGCAGCACACGGGCAACTTCGGCTTGGTTTCTGGTTTAAAGCAAGGAAAAAAGACAGATTTGAGTCATTCCAGTCAATTCTTTCTCTTTGCAAAGCAACAGAAATCAGGTTTTGTATCCTCTCAGCCCCACCCCGCTTCCTCTCAGCGTTAAAAAACTGGGGGTTTTTTTGGTTTGGGGTTTTTTAGGGGGGGGTTTTTGTTTGTTTTTGTTGTTAGGGTTGGGATTATTGTCATTATTTATTGTTATTATTTCCACAGGGCCAGCAGGGGGGAGGTGTCCTACCCAAAGGCTGCGTAGTGCAGCGCCGTGTCCCCCTCGTCGTCACGCAGGTCGACGTTGGCGTGTGCCTGCAGCAGGGTCTTCACCACCTCCAGGTGCCCCTGGTAAGAGGCAATCTGCAGGGCAGTCCTGCCCTGGTTCTTGGCATCCACCTTTGGGAAGGGCAGAGAGACAGAAAATCAGGGATGAGCTCGTTGTGAGCCCGGAGCAGGGTGGGAACAGCCCAGAAATCCCACAGGGTCCGTGCCCTGCTGGCTCCTCTGCTGGCCAGCAGCTCCCAGCTGAGCTTGTCCCAGAACATTCTGGAAGGGGAAGGGGGCAGCATGTTTAGTCAGGAGGGGAGAAGTGAGAGAACAGAGCTGGAGCTCTGTAATTGCAAAGCCCTGCTGCCAAATCACTCAGTGCCTGAGAGCACGACGCTCCTCGATGCCTCTGCCAACAATTCCCTTCCCAAGGGAAAATGTGTGAGGAAATCAAATCAGCTTTGCAAAAGGCTCTGGAGGTGCCAGGTCCCTGCTGTGCTGTGCTGCTGCAGGCACTTCAGTGGGTGCAGAGGCTGCAGGGGACATCTCAGGGCTCAAGTGCTGCAGTGAGAGTTTTGGAGAATTTAAAGGCACCGAAGAACAAGAGGTAAAAAAAAAAGGCAAAGCAGCTTCTGAAAGCAGTGGAGGCTAAGGAGAGGAGAAAGAGGCACAAAACCTCAGCAGACTGGCAAGGAGAACAAGTTCATAATCAAGGTTTTATCCCTGCAGCAGTCAGAGCACAGACAGGCTCAAAATGATGGGTGAGTCCTTTGGGCAAAGAGGAATTAGAGGTCACTGCTGCTCTTCCATTGACACCAGACAGGCAGGGCTGATAAGCTGGAAAAACTCTGCCAAGCAATTCCAACTTGCTCTAAGTCAGCCTCAAATCCAGCCTGATCTCTCTATAAGACTCAAATAGAAACATCTAATTTATTTATATATATATATATATTAGAGTAGAAATAGAAGTCTAATAAAAATAACTGATCATATCATGGATTCCTCACTCTTGAGACTTTCCTATCTGGGATCAATCTGAGAATTACAAGTATTTGTGTCTCCTTCTCACCCCCAGAAGTTTATTTATAAACTTAAATTTAAGTTTATAAATAAAGAAGCATAATAAATACCAGACAAGCACTAAATCAACTTCTTCAGAGCTGATCCTGGGTCACAGCCCCACAACCACACCCCCAACAAAACCTCTTTTTGTTACTCGTGGTTTCCAAGGGCACACTACTGAAATTGTGGTGGTTTTTTTTGGAGTTTTTTTTTTGCCCTGTATCTAAACCCTGAGCCCCTCCCTGCAGGAGGTTTCAGGAGATGTGATCCTGACAGTTTGGCAAGGAATTTGACAGGAATTGTCCAGCCCAGCTCCCTGCTCCAGTCAGACATGAGATAAGACACTGCACACATCTGGGCAGCTTTCCTCCCTCCTGATTCCAACAATGTGATTTTACAAGGTCCTCTAAGGACAGGCACAGTCAGACACAAGCCCTGCCTTTCTTTTCCAGCAGATTTTCTGATTTCTGCTCCTGTTTTCCTATAGATAAACCCCTCTCCCTCTCATTCTACAGCTGCAGTGGCCACACAGGAAATTTGGGAAAAGCCAGCTTGGGAAAGGTGCTGTAAGGATTTTAGTTCAGATTTATTGCCACAAACTAGAGGCATAAAATATGCACATTTAACTTGTGAATTTAATCCTTGCAGCAATTGCAATCCTTGCAGAAATTGCAGCAAAAGAAATATTCCAGCTGTTAGGAGACACCACTAAGCCTGACACGTCTATTGTTTTCCTCACATTCTTTTCCCTGCTTGACTACAAAATTTTATGATGATGTTTTAAAGAGCAGAAACAAAGGAAAAATAACATTTTTTGTCTTCCAAACTTGCCTTGTCTGGGTACTTCTGGAGGAGCTCCCGGATTTTAGCTGCGTTGTTGAGGGCTGCACAAATGACCAGGCACCCTGCATGCTCTGACTCTGTCCTCTGGGACAGCAGCTTCTCCAGGACAGTCACCAAAGTACCTGAAAAAGAGACAAAAATGTACCTGTCACCCCACATCTCCCAGTGTTTGAGGGGACACAGGTGTCACAGCTCGCCAGCAGTGCAAAGTCAAAAAATTTTGCAAGTTCTGACTTGAGCAAACAATTCCAGATCCATCTGTATCAGGAAAACAAAAAAAAATCCTGGCAAGTCTGTGCTCCCTCCCACATGATCCTGACACTCAGAGGAAATAAAGATGGTCAGGCCACACAAAAAATTCTGAGCAGATGTGCAAAGCACAAAAAAAAAATTCTCCTCCATGCACCATGTGATCCCAAACTCGATTTCAGGGCAGATTAGGCAAAACAATTGTGGATTTCACAACAGTTCCACGCACAGACCTGGGAATGTTTCACAAGAATCAGTGTCCTTGTACAGGAAACAGGATGGAAAGGGAACTGAGACACCACAGGGATGAGGCAAATACTGAACCCAGGGCAGAGCTGTGCTTAGCAATTCTGAGCCCGAAATTCTGTATTTTCCTGTTAAAACCAGCATTTTCAATTACTAAAATCTTTATTTTCCTGTCAAAACTAGTTTTGCTTACCTAGTAAGGCACAGCTGGGTTTTATTCTGTATTTTTCCCATTAATCCCAGCATCTCCAAGTCCTAAATCCTGCACTACCCCATTAATCCCAGCATTTCCAAGTCCTAAATTCCAGTGAGTCCTAAATTCTGCATTTTCCTGTTAATCCCAGCATTTCCCAGTCCTAAATCCTGCATTTCCCCATTAATCCCAGCATCTCCAAGTCCTAAATCCTGCATTTTCCTGTTAATCCCAGCATTTCTCAGCCCTAAATCCTGTATTTCCCCATTAATCCCAGCATTTCCCAGTCCTAAATCCTGCATTTCCCCACTAATCCCAGCATTTCCCAGTCCTAAATCCTGCATTCCTCCATTAATCCCAGCATTTCCCAGTCCTGAATTCTGCATTTTCCTGTTAATCCCATAATTTCCCAGCCCTAATCCTGTATTTCCCCATTAATCCCAGCATTTCCAAGTCCTAAATCCTGCATTTCTCCATTAATCCCAGCATCTCCCAGTCCTAAATCCTGCATTTTCCCAAGGCCCAGCTTTTTTTGCCCAGCAAAGCACAGCCAAACTTCAATTCTCCATCCAGGGAAGAACACCTGGATTTCGCCACCACCCAAAGAGCTGGACCAAAGATCTCCCAGCCCTGGGGGCCCGGGTCTGTCCCTCACTTTTGGACTCCTTGGCACTCTCCGTGGTCATCAGGTTGGCCTCCTCCTCCCTCTGGTAGGCTGTCAGGCAGGCAGGGTTGAAGGTCCAGGACTGTCCCCCCACTGACACTCGCAGATCTCCATCCCCATAGACCTTGATCACCTTCCCAATGTGCCCCAGGGTCTGTAAGGAAAAAAAAAAAAGGATATTTTTTCCCCCCAAAGCTGCAGTTCCCAGACCCAAAGCCGGGTTTTTTTTTTGGTTTTTTTTTTGGGGTTTATTTTTTTCGTAAAGCTGCAGCTCCTGCTGTGTGAAAAGAAGCACTGGACAATGACACACTCACAGACAGCTCCCACTTCGAGGACACCAGAGGTTTCTCAGCAGTTTCTGGAGTTTTTTTGCCATGGAAGGGTTTTCCCAGGCACACTGGGAAAGGCTGGGGAGGGAGGTGCTGACAAGAACTGACCAAGCTGGGAGTGGGGACGGTTTCCTCTGCTCCTGGAGGAACCTCCATCCCACTTTTTAGCCATGCTGGGCTGATTTTAACACCTCCCTGCCTCATTGCAGAGAGTCAGGGAGGGCATAAGAGGAATTTGATGATGGAAACCTCTCCCAAATCCTTTTTTGCTGGATTCCCCCTTGTCCCGTTTGGGTGCCGCGGGCACGACGGCATCACCGAGAGCCACCAGCTGGGCAGGGACTTCCCAGCAGGAATTCTGGGGGGGTTTACAAGCCCACGTGTAAGTGCTGAGGGCTTGGGGGAGCTCAGGAGGTTACTGGGCTGTCCTGGAACTGGAACTGGCGCGCACTCACAGGTGCCATCTCATCTGTCCACTCCCCATGACCAGGTTGGAACCGCTTCACTGTTTCCATATCATCTATCACCCGGACCACATCACCAACCCAAAAGGTGTTGAGCTACAAGAAAAAGAAAGTCATAAGCTTTTGGGGGAATGAAGCCACACACGGACAGAGACAAAAAATTAACAGTGATCAGCCCCTCCACCCCACTCCCAAAGTCCCAACAAACAAGACACCCACTGAGCCAAAAAACAGCATGGCAAAACATAACCACAGCTACCAAGAAAATAAACACAGCCCAATTCTCTTTCAAACCAAGTGCACATTTAAATAGAGAAATTATTTGGAACAGGCAGTTTCCTAACTTCTTTTTCTCCAAATGGTTTATTATTAATTCCAGATAAAGCATGGAAGTTTTCTTGGTCCATCTCCTCGCTACACCTGGCTAGGCACTGGAGATTTTAATTCAGTCTAATAAGGAAGTTCAATGTTTGTTATTTTAACAGAAAAGGGTTTATCTGTGCTGGGAATTTAATTTGCCAGATGCTCCCTCTGCTCACTGAGCTAGGAAGGGAGCAGTGTCAAAACACACTTTTCAGAGCAGACTGATTTTGTGCAAAACAATCTGACACTGCATTTTCCACTGGTGCTGGGGGTTTTTAGCATTGTGACCTTGCTCAGGTCAGAATTTTGTGGTCTTCCAGCAGCTTCTTCTACACCTAATTATCTCTATTTCTAATTATCCACTTCTCAAAGTCCTCAAACCTCTGGGGAAAGCCAGAGCTGCGAGCTTTAGAAATACAGCCACAAAATTAGAAGGGCTGGATTAAAGACTCAGAAGTCCTGTATTTCCCCATTAATCCCAGCATTTCCCAGTCCTAAATCCTGCATTTCCCCACTAATCCCAGCATTTCCCAGTCCTAAATCCTGCATTCCTCCATTAATCCCAGCATTTCCCAGTCCTGAATTCTGCATTTTCCTGTTAATCCCATAATTTCCCAGCCCTAATCCTGTATTTCCCCATTAATCCCAGCATTTCCAAGTCCTAAATCCTGCATTTCTCCATTAATCCCAGCATCTCCCAGTCCTAAATCCTGCATTTTCCCAAGGCCCAGCTTTTTTTGCCCAGCAAAGCACAGCCAAACTTCAATTCTCCATCCAGGGAAGAACACCTGGATTTCGCCACCACCCAAAGAGCTGGACCAAAGATCTCCCAGCCCTGGGGGCCCGGGTCTGTCCCTCACTTTTGGACTCCTTGGCACTCTCCGTGGTCATCAGGTTGGCCTCCTCCTCCCTCTGGTAGGCTGTCAGGCAGGCAGGGTTGAAGGTCCAGGACTGTCCCCCCACTGACACTCGCAGATCTCCATCCCCATAGACCTTGATCACCTTCCCAATGTGCCCCAGGGTCTGTAAGGAAAAAAAAAAAAGGATATTTTTTCCCCCCAAAGCTGCAGTTCCCAGACCCAAAGCCGGGTTTTTTTTTTGGTTTTTTTTTGGGGGTTTATTTTTTTCGTAAAGCTGCAGCTCCTGCTGTGTGAAAAGAAGCACTGGACAATGACACACTCACAGACAGCTCCCACTTCGAGGACACCAGAGGTTTCTCAGCAGTTTCTGGAGTTTTTTTGCCATGGAAGGGTTTTCCCAGGCACACTGGGAAAGGCTGGGGAGGGAGGTGCTGACAAGAACTGACCAAGCTGGGAGTGGGGACGGTTTCCTCTGCTCCTGGAGGAACCTCCATCCCACTTTTTAGCCATGCTGGGCTGATTTTAACACCTCCCTGCCTCATTGCAGAGAGTCAGGGAGGGCATAAGAGGAATTTGATGATGGAAACCTCTCCCAAATCCTTTTTTGCTGGATTCCCCCTTGTCCCGTTTGGGTGCCGCGGGCACGACGGCATCACCGAGAGCCACCAGCTGGGCAGGGACTTCCCAGCAGGAATTCTGGGGGGGTTTACAAGCCCACGTGTAAGTGCTGAGGGCTTGGGGGAGCTCAGGAGGTTACTGGGCTGTCCTGGAACTGGAACTGGCGCGCACTCACAGGTGCCATCTCATCTGTCCACTCCCCATGACCAGGTTGGAACCGCTTCACTGTTTCCATATCATCTATCACCCGGACCACATCACCAACCCAAAAGGTGTTGAGCTACAAGAAAAAGAAAGTCATAAGCTTTTGGGGGAATGAAGCCACACACGGACAGAGACAAAAAATTAACAGTGATCAGCCCCTCCACCCCACTCCCAAAGTCCCAACAAACAAGACACCCACTGAGCCAAAAAACAGCATGGCAAAACATAACCACAGCTACCAAGAAAATAAACACAGCCCAATTCTCTTTCAAACCAAGTGCACATTTAAATAGAGAAATTATTTGGAACAGGCAGTTTCCTAACTTCTTTTTCTCCAAATGGTTTATTATTAATTCCAGATAAAGCATGGAAGTTTTCTTGGTCCATCTCCTCGCTACACCTGGCTAGGCACTGGAGATTTTAATTCAGTCTAATAAGGAAGTTCAATGTTTGTTATTTTAACAGAAAAGGGTTTATCTGTGCTGGGAATTTAATTTGCCAGATGCTCCCTCTGCTCACTGAGCTAGGAAGGGAGCAGTGTCAAAACACACTTTTCAGAGCAGACTGATTTTGTGCAAAACAATCTGACACTGCATTTTCCACTGGTGCTGGGGGTTTTTAGCATTGTGACCTTGCTCAGGTCAGAATTTTGTGGTCTTCCAGCAGCTTCTTCTACACCTAATTATCTCTATTTCTAATTATCCACTTCTCAAAGTCCTCAAACCTCTGGGGAAAGCCAGAGCTGCGAGCTTTAGAAATACAGCCACAAAATTAGAAGGGCTGGATTAAAGACTCAGAAGAATCAAAGAGAAGTGAGACAAAGATACAAAAAAGAACAACATGGAGACACAAAACAAGGAAGAACAAAAAAAAAAATCAAAGGGAAATTCTGTGGGGAAAAGGTTCATCACAAGGGCAAGGCAGCTGCAGAAGGATGAGGGACTGGAAGCTGAAATTAAGAAATGCAGTTTACCTCCAGGACTTGCAAAAGTTCAAAAAAAAACCAGGACAATGGTGTTTAGAAGAGCAGGGCGTCCCTTCAGCACCTCTGGGGACACTCTGAGCCCCAAGTGAGCAGGATCAGTGAGCTCCCTGCAGCACCCCCAGTACCCACCTTGGTCAGGGCTCCGGGGTGGAAAGTCCAGCGGGTCTCAGGGTTGAACTGGACCCTCACGTCCCCTCTGTCCGTGATCCTGTGCACGGTCCCTGTCTGCCCAATGAACTTTGGGCACAAAAAAGAGAGGGGAGAGCCCCTCAATCAATCACCTTCTTTAATAGTGGGGAAGGGAGGTATCTAAGGCTAAAGCACCCAGCATTTCCCATCCACACTGCTCCCAAACCTATGTTCTGTAGCTTCCTACTAAGCCCAGCATTTCCCAGTATTAAAATCTGGTTTTTCCTGTTAATCCCAGCATTTCCAAGTCCTAAATTCTTGTGAGTCCTAAACTCTGGATTTTCCTGTTAATCCCAGCATTTCCAAGTCCTAAATTCCTGTGAGTCCTAAATTCTGCATTTTCCCATTAATCCCAGCATTTCCAAGTCCTAAATTCCCGTGAGTCCTAAATTCTGCATTTTCCCATTAATCCCAGCATTTCCAAGTCCTAAATTCCTGTGAGTCCTAAATTCTGCATGTTCCCATTAATCCCACCACTTTCAAGTCCTAAATTCCCGTGAATCTTAAATTCCATATTTTCCTGTTAATCCCAGATTTCCCAGTCCTAAATTCTGGATTTTCCTGTTAATCCAAACATTTTCAAGTCCTAAATTCTTGTAAATATCTACAAGGCCATTCTCATCCAACAGAGCCCTAAAAATAACTCTGACTCCAGCGTCCTATCACTAAAAAAAAAATCTGCATTTGTGATTCACTTCAACTCTAAGGTCACACAAAGATGTTCGAATTCTGGGGGGGTTTACAAGCCCACGTGTAAGTGCTGAGGGCTTGGGGGAGCTCAGGAGGTTACTGGGCTGTCCTGGAACTGGAACTGGCGCGCACTCACAGGTGCCATCTCATCTGTCCACTCCCCATGACCAGGTTGGAACCGCTTCACTGTTTCCATATCATCTATCACCCGGACCACATCACCAACCCAAAAGGTGTTGAGCTACAAGAAAAAGAAAGTCATAAGCTTTTGGGGGAATGAAGCCACACACGGACAGAGACAAAAAATTAACAGTGATCAGCCCCTCCACCCCACTCCCAAAGTCCCAACAAACAAGACACCCACTGAGCCAAAAAACAGCATGGCAAAACATAACCACAGCTACCAAGAAAATAAACACAGCCCAATTCTCTTTCAAACCAAGTGCACATTTAAATAGAGAAATTATTTGGAACAGGCAGTTTCCTAACTTCTTTTTCTCCAAATGGTTTATTATTAATTCCAGATAAAGCATGGAAGTTTTCTTGGTCCATCTCCTCGCTACACCTGGCTAGGCACTGGAGATTTTAATTCAGTCTAATAAGGAAGTTCAATGTTTGTTATTTTAACAGAAAAGGGTTTATCTGTGCTGGGAATTTAATTTGCCAGATGCTCCCTCTGCTCACTGAGCTAGGAAGGGAGCAGTGTCAAAACACACTTTTCAGAGCAGACTGATTTTGTGCAAAACAATCTGACACTGCATTTTCCACTGGTGCTGGGGGTTTTTAGCATTGTGACCTTGCTCAGGTCAGAATTTTGTGGTCTTCCAGCAGCTTCTTCTACACCTAATTATCTCTATTTCTAATTATCCACTTCTCAAAGTCCTCAAACCTCTGGGGAAGGCCAGAGCTGCGAGCTTTAGAAATACAGCCACAAAATTAGAAGGGCTGGATTAAAGACTCAGAAGAATCAAAGAGAAGTGAGACAAAGATACAAAAAAGAACAACATGGAGACACAAAACAAGGAAGAACAAAAAAAAAAATCAAAGGGAAATTCTGTGGGGAAAAGGTTCATCACAAGGGCAAGGCAGCTGCAGAAGGATGAGGGACTGGAAGCTGAAATTAAGAAATGCAGTTTACCTCCAGGACTTGCAAAAGTTCAAAAAAAAACCAGGACAATGGTGTTTAGAAGAGCAGGGCGTCCCTTCAGCACCTCTGGGGACACTCTGAGCCCCAAGTGAGCAGGATCAGTGAGCTCCCTGCAGCACCCCCAGTACCCACCTTGGTCAGGGCTCCGGGGTGGAAAGTCCAGCGGGTCTCAGGGTTGAACTGGACCCTCACGTCCCCTCTGTCCGTGATCCTGTGCACGGTCCCTGTCTGCCCAATGAACTTTGGGCACAAAAAAGAGAGGGGAGAGCCCCTCAATCAATCACCTTCTTTAATAGTGGGGAAGGGAGGTATCTAAGGCTAAAGCACCCAGCATTTCCCATCCACACTGCTCCCAAACCTATGTTCTGTAGCTTCCTACTAAGCCCAGCATTTCCCAGTATTAAAATCTGGTTTTTCCTGTTAATCCCAGCATTTCCAAGTCCTAAACTCTGGATTTTCCTGTTAATCCCAGCATTTCCAAGTCCTAAATTCTTGTGAGTCCTAAATTCTGGATTTTCCTGTTAATCCCAGCATTTCCAAGTCCTAAATTCCTGTGAGTCCTAAATTCTGCATTTTCCCATTAATCCCAGCATTTCCAAGTCCTAAATTCCTGTGAGTCCTAAATTCTGCATGTTCCCATTAATCCCACCACTTTCAAGTCCTAAATTCCCGTGAATCTTAAATTCCATATTTTCCTGTTAATCCCAGATTTCCCAGTCCTAAATTCTGGATTTTCCTGTTAATCCAAACATTTTCAAGTCCTAAATTCTTGTAAATATCTACAAGGCCATTCTCATCCAACAGAGCCCTAAAAATAACTCTGACTCCAGCGTCCTATCACTAAAAAAAAAATCTGCATTTGTGATTCACTTCAACTCTAAGGTCACACAAAGATGTTCTGGCAACTTCCTGAGCAGTGCAGAAGGAGGCAGAGGCTGGAATTGTACCCAGGGAGAATGCAAGGACTTACCTCAGCCATTTTGGGATTCCAGCCCCCGTGGCCCTCCTGCATCTCGCGCAGGATGTCGATGTCCAGCAGGCACTTCACCTTGTCCCCGTGCTGGAAGGGATGCCTGTCTGTGCTCTCCTTCCTCTGCAGCTCAGCTGGTTTCCCTGGGGACAACAAGGACAGCACCCACAGGCATGCAGGGTGCAGTCACACACCCTGGGTGCCTCACTGGCTTCCTTACAAGGGCTGAAAATTAACATTAATTGGGGCAGAATGGTGCAAATCCCTTTTCATGCCCTATAGGGCAGCAGAGAAATCAGCTGGATTTAACTCTATATCAATAATTACATTATATTACAATTATATTTTACCATTTCCAATTTTATATTAATAAACCATAAGCAGCTCTAATTTGTCCCTCTGCAGAGCAGGGAATGCCTCTCAGGCCGTGGCAGACACCAGGAGCTGTTCTTAGCAATCCACTCACCCACAACTGCTGTGTTCAGACATGCCCACACAGCACCCAAAATTAGTTCTTCACCCCCACAGGCAGGCACAGAATTCACTCTGAGGAGTTCCTTACCCTCCCACCCATCCCATGCATCCATACCCCTGGAATTAAGCTCCTCATCCAACCTTTCCCCCCCTCATGCTCTTGCCAAGGTGCCCAGGGAGAGAAAAGTTTGAGAAGGACTGGTAAAAGTCTTCTTGAAAAGTTTTGTCTGATAAAAACCCTGATTTTGTTGCTGCAAACACCAGAACAGACCCCTCTGTTTTCCTTCAGGGAGTCAAAGATGTCCCTGCATCTCATTAAAGAAAAACAACCCCACAGCTAAATTACACCTGGGTAAAGAAAAACTTCAAATCCAAAAGCACAAGGAATTTCCTCGGACTTAAGAGGAAAGGGGGATTGCAGCAAGTTGCCAGCACAGACACCACCTTTTCCCATCACTTTTTCTAATTTTTGGCTGTTCCATTCTCCAAAGTCTCCCTTTGGTCACATTCCCCCTTTTGGCTCCAGCAGGAGAGTGTTTGCTCTCTACAAACACAGTGAACAACAGCTTGCCTGAAGAATTAAAAGCTTTGGATTAACAAATATAACAAAAGTGAGAAAAGTTGGGTTCTCTGTAGCAGAGTGGGAATTTCCTGCATTTCCAGCAGAGGTTGTATTCCTTGGGATAGAACTGTGGGTATCTGATGGTTTTAACACTGAAAGTCCAAACTATTTCATGAACCACTCTGAGATCAAGCAGGATGGTCCCACACAAACCAAATTCTCTCAAAGAATGCTCATTATGTGGGAACTTTAGAAAACCAGGAGGTGGTTTTGTGTCTTTCCAAACAAAAAATGATTCAGCGCCAACGGCCGCGTGAATCACAACTCCTCAACAAAGACCTCACCCACCTAATTTTGGGAGGTGCTCCTTGTAGTAGAAGCCCCCAGAAGCCTCCACAGTACACTTGAGGTCCACTTTTCCCTTGTGGCCCACCCTGTAGACGTTGGTGGTGCCATCTGCCCAGGTGACACTGGCGACGCTGCGGCCGGTCTCCACGTCCCAGCCGCGGATATCGACCACGCGGCCAATCTTGCCCTCACCCCCTGAGGGGAAAAGAAGTGCAAATCAGGAAAACTGGATCATGAGACAGCTCATTTGGAGTGATTAGGAGGGAATCTCTGCGTTAAAGCTGCTGGAACCCAGCGAGCTGTTCATTTTGGAATGATTCTGTGGAGGATTCCTGGTGTGCAGGAGCACGGCCTAGTTGGGGAATCACACATGGTGTCATGGCACCACACTGTGGCAACAAAAATACTCAGCAGTGCTGCAAGATCCAGGACCCAAGTGCTAAAGATCCACCAGGATCTTTCAATCTCTCCCCAACACCACCCATGTGCTCCAAGATCCATCCAGGATCTTTCAATCTCTCCCCAACACCATCCATGTGCTCCAAGATCCACCCAGGATCTTTCAATCTCTCCCCAACCCCATCCAGATGGGGGAACATCAAAGAAACTTGGTTTTCCTCAAGCAAGGAGCTTGAAGAATCCAGAAGAGGAGGATGGAAATGTGGAGGTGAATCTGGCTGGGCACTGGGACGTGCTCTGATCCAAGAGACAACACAGTGAAGGCAACCAGGGTTTGCAGATTCCCAGTTTGGGCAAGTCCCAAGACTTCCACAAACAAGGACAGCAAGATCTGTCTCACTGAGGAACTTCTGGATGTCTGCAAAGCCCTGAAACCCAGCAGCCTGGAGAGCTGAACTCCTCACTGATCAGCACAAGGCAAAGGCTGGGTTTTGCTGCCAGTTCTGCTCATGACAAGACCGTGGCTGTGGATGGGGCAGCTCCACCAAGACCAGAGAGCAGCTGAGGGCTGGATTCAGGGCTCCTCTCACTGCTCCTGCCCAGGGAGCTGCCTGCAGGTCAGCAGCACCAGTCTCAGACATGTAAATGCTGCTGGCATCTCCAGAGGCTGGATCAGCATAAGCTGATTTACTCCCTGACCCTGCAAGCACCCACAGCCTCCACTGAACCCAGGGCTGCAATAAATGGCAGAGTCAGCTCTGGAAACCTTTGAACTTTTGACTTAATTCTGCAGAGGAAAAAGGAGCTGTAAACATCAGAGTGTGTGTGCAGGGCTCTGGGACACAGGGAAAGCTCCCTCAGCTCTGGAGCAGCACACAGCAACTGCTGTCACCGACCTGGGGACAGGAATTACACCCTAAAGCAGTTTAAAAAACCATTTTTGTCCCATTGCATTCTCAGCCTGAAGGTTTCAATTCCTACAGAATTGAAGCACTCTCCAGTGACCACAGTGTGAAACCCTCCTTAGAGAGAATTCCTCCTCACTGCTCTTTAAAGTATCCAAATAATGACACTGCAAAAACTCCAAAAGAAAATGGATGCTGTACACAAAGTCAGATAAACTCTCCACCATCAATTAAAGCTTTTTCAGGAAGAGGAGAGTCTTTCTTTTCTTGTCACATAGTGTGCATTTACAATTTTATACAAGGATGGTTCTCAGTGGTTTTCACATCTATGAAGGGGAGCAGTAAAACTTCCTCCCCACACCCTGGACATGGTTTATGTCACAGATATGTGACAAACAACAAATACAAGGAAAAAATAGATTTTAATTACTCTAAAGAACAGGCACCTGCATCACCTGAACAACTCCCCTAGAAGCTGCTGCTCAACACGTGGATTTTTAACCAGCAATTTGCAAAAATAAAAGAATATTTTACATATAGAAAAAATATATATATATACATATAAATATATATTAAAAAATAGATACATATATAAATATGAATAAAATATAAAATAAAAATATAAACTATAGAATATAATTATAAACAATAAAATAGAAAATAGAAAAATGAAAATATAAAATATGAATAAAACGAAAATATTAAATATAAAAACATAAAAATTAAAATATTAAATATTTTAAGATATAATTTTTATTATACATATAAAAAAGCAAATGGTGTTTTAGAGGACTTTCCAAAAGCAGCTTACCATCCTGGTTCCCCCACTCCCAGTCAGGCCCACGGACCACTTTAGCCCCCTGGAAAGTCCCTTTTAACGTGATGCGAGTCAGATTCTGCCGAGGGCTCACGAGGACCCTGCAGAAAGAAAATCAGAGCAATAAATGAATTTGTTGTTGTTACAGAAGTGCCAAAGCTGAGGGCTGTCCCACGAGGACCACCCTTGGCTTTAGGGTGATGGACATTTCTGGGGGGGCCCTGCAGGGAGGCACTGATGGAGCTCAGCATGTTCTGCAAGCAGAAAATCAGAGAATCTGAGTGAGATTGAGAGAATCAGAGAACCTGAATCAGATTGAGAGAATCAGAGAATCTGAATCTGAGAATCAGAGAATCTGAATCAGATTGAGAGAATCAGAGAATCTGAATGAGATTGAGAGAATCTGAGAACCTGAATCTGATTCAGAGAATCAGAGCAGCAGGGCTGTGGCATTCCTGGAGCTTGAGAGAATCAGAGAATCTGAATCTGAGAATCAGAGAATCTGAATCAGATTGAGAGAATCAGGGAACTTGAATCTGATTGAGAGAATCAGAGAATCTGAATGAGATTGAGAGAATCTGAGAACCTGAATCTGATTCAGAGAATCAGAGCAGCAGGGCTGTGGCATTCCTGGAGCTCAGCATGTTCTGCAAGGAGAGAATCAGAGAATCTGAATCAGAGAATTAGAGAATAAGAATCTGAATCAGAGAATCAGAGAATCTGAATCTCATTCAGAGAATCAGAGCAGCTCAGAGCAACGGGGCTGTGGCATTCCTGGAGCTCCGCATGTTCTGCAAGGAGAGAATCTGAATATGAATCAGAGAATGAGGATCTGAATCAGAGAATCTGAATCTGATTCAGAAAATCACAATCTGAATCTGAATCAGAGAATCAGAGAATCTGAATCAGAGAATCAGGATCTGATTCAGAAAATCACAATCTGAATCTGAATCAGAGACTCTGAATCAGAGAATCTGACTGATCCAGAGAATCAGCAGCAGGGCTGTGCCTGGAGCATCCCCGGCTCTCCCAGAGCTGCCTGCAGCCCACAGCCCCAGCAGAGCCCCCCAGCTGCAGGGAAAAGGAGCAGGGTACCTACGTGATGGTGAACAGGGGGTCTGATGTCCTGTTAAAGCAGCTCCCAATTCCCATAATGGCACAGCAGCCTCTCTGCTGTCCCCAGGCCGCCACAAAGCCACCAAAAAGTCACCAAAAAACCCACGGGGGACCTGCCTGGCTGCTCAGGCAGGGCACAATCCCTTTTCTAGGTGCCCCAATCCATGCCCCTGCAGCCAGACAGGCTCTTGGCAAGTCCCAGCCCAGACAGGGCAGCCCAAGTTCAGCAGCTGCTGCTGGGGGCAAGGGGAGGGGAAGCTTCCTGGGGGAAGGGCTGACCTCAGAGCATTTCTTTTCCATCTAATACCTCCAGAGGGAAGGTGGAGACTCAGGAGGATGAAAAGCTTATGCTTGAACTTAGTGTTTACTTATCCATTAAGTCTTTTCCTTTCCTTAACCTGTTAGCAGATCTGCCACCTGTGGTTTACAACCCTGTGGGTTTCAAAACAGGGAGGGACTATTTATGCCTTGCTCTTGTAATGACTAATAATTAATATTCATTAATTACCCAGGCTGGAGCTCAGCAGGAGGAAAATGAAGGGTTGTGTTTGGAGGGTTGAGATTTTGACTGGTTTAAGCACCATCAAGGCTGGATATTGTTATGAAAGAAGATAATGACAGTGGAGGGAAAGCTCAGCTATAAAGAGCCACTGCTCAGCATTTATTTTATTGCACTATCAGGCACTGATAAAACCAGCATGGATTTGGGTACAGCCTCTGAAACAGCCTGGATGTTTTCACTGCATTTTGTTCAATGTTTTTCTAATAATTTATCAAAGATGTCTGAGCCAAGCCCTGAGACAAAGTGATAAAAATACAATTCTCTCTTCCAAAGCCTTCTCTCACAAGGGATGGGATTCAATGCAAAGATTCTTACTGATAGTAAAATAAAGCACCAAGCTGAGCTTAAGATGTTTAAATAGCAAAATATCCACCCCTCATTCTATTCTTAGCAGAAGTTCCCTTTTTGGATGATCATGTAACAGGAGTCACTCCCCAGCTCACCACTCTCACATTAACCTGCCACCTCCTCTGAAATTTGTGGATGGAGACCAAAAAAACAAAGCTGAGTTTCCTTAAAGAAGGGAATTGTAAGAAATTCCATCTCCTGTCCTGCTGCAATTCTGGGGCACCCAGCAGAAGTGCCCTCCTTCCCAAGCCTCACCAAAATTCTGAGCCTGCCTTAAACCACCCTTCACCAAGGAGTGATGCAAGCACCAGATCTCCTGAGTCATATTCTTATCAAGGTTCTCATCTAATTCAATGTTTTGCTCCAAATATTGGATAACAACCAAAGTTACCCAGTGTGATGCAAAAAATACCCCTGAGCTAAATTTAATCCCCGTGGTGCTGCCTTTAATAACAAATTTAATTATGACAGCACAGGTCTGCAGCCACTTCTGCCCTACAAATTCCAAGGATATTAAATTACTGCAGAGCCCAGAAATGTGCAGAATGAAGTTATGGCTCTCTCCAGCATGGAGAACCACTCCCTGGGGATCTTCTGCCTGCTCAGGCTTCTCTGAGGTGCTGATTTGGGATTTCACATCCCTGAGATCTCTGCTGCAGCACCTGGAACAGCAGCATCAGCCCTGCTTCAAAGAGAGGGATGGGGGATCCAAATCCACTGATCTGGAGAAATTCAAACAAAAACCACTTTAAATTTGCAGCAGCAAGCCTGAGCTCCTTCACACCAGGAATGGTGATGTGTTTGTGGGATTTTTCTGCTGCAGAAAAGTTTTTATACAATAAGAGGAGCAGGATGCAGAAGTCATGGTCACCCTGTAAGGTGGCAGGCCATAAATATCATATTTAATTTAATATGATATTTATATTTAATTTAATTCCTCCAAATTGACTGATCTGGAGAAATTCAAACAAAAACTACTTTAAACTGCAGCAGCAAGCCAGAGTTCATTCACACCAAGCATGGTTGATGCGTTTTGTGGGATTTTTCTGCTGCAGAAAGTTCTCATCTGAAGAAATAAACACAATTAAGAGGACTGGGAAGCAGAATTATGGTCACCCTGCAAGGTGGCAGCCCATAAATATCACATTAATCCCTTCCTAAAGGTACAGCTCTAAACCAGATTTTCCTCTTGTGGGAGACACAAACCCACATCCCTGCCAGGACACACAAAGATCCACCTCCAGAAAAGCCAAAACACGAAGATCTTGCAGGAACTAAAGGCAAAAGTGACCTCAATGCAAGAAATTCCAGGTTTTCTAATCCCCCCAGCAAAGCTTCTCCTGAAACTCTTCCAGCAGAGGATAAAGGAAGGCACTTGTGACAGATGGCTCTGGTTGCTCAAGCAGGAACCAGACTAAGACAAGGAGCTGGAGAGGGATCAGGATCACAGAAACCTATTTCAGGAACTGCCTCTACCCAGATTTTTCCTTTTCAATCCTTTCCTTCCCAGACAAGGCACATTTATTGACAAATCCAGCTGTATCCTTGTATCATACACGTAGATATCCTTAAATCCACATCTTTATCAGTAAAAGTTGTGGTCTTTTGGTAACCCCTAAAGTAATTTGGATCACAGAAACCCATTTCAGGAACTGTCTTTATCCAGATTTTTTCCTTTTCAATCCTTTCCTTCCCAGACAAGGCACATTTATTGACAAATCCAGCTGTATCCTTATAACACACGAATTTATCAGTAAAAGCTGTGGGTTTTTGGTAACCCCCAAAACAATTTGGATCAAATCCTGCTCTGAAAAGCCACAGCAGGGAAGGTTTCACGCCAAGGCTACTAAATGGGAATTAAAAAGGTTCCTGCAGACAGTTTTTCACTCAGAAATGTTCATGCAGAGCATTTAAAGGCAGAATATTGCACTGAGAAGATGCAGAAACAGCACTGAGCACACAGAGTGAAAATGTCTTCTTATCATCCTCCAAACTTCATTATTCAAAATGAAGCTAAAGCTGGTTCAGGGAAGGTTTCTCTTGTAATTCCAGAAAAGATGAGGATAAAATATGCCAGTGAAGCACAATCCCTGTTCCAAAAATGAAACAGGATAATTAAAATTACACAAGGGAAGCCCCAGTATGAAAACACACCTTGGTGCTCATGTTTGGGGTTTTTTAAGGAGGCACAGGCAATTTATCTGGCAAATCCTGGTGGATTTTGCCCTAAAGTAAAACCATACAAATTCATTAACAGATAAAAATAAAGAAATCCATATTAATAATTAATTTGATTCCGAATATTCCTCACTCAAATTTCTTCGTTCAAACTGCCACTGCAGTTTAAAATAAATAGTGAATAAATAGTGAATAAATAGTGAATAAATAGTGAATAAATGCCACCTGCTGAGGAGGTTTCCATGTAAATAAAATCAAACCTGCACCTCCTGATTGCCCAGAAATCAAACACCCAGCAGCTGTCACTCAGCTGCTGGATTAGCTCCACAGATGGAATTTGGATTATTAAAGACCTAAATCAGAGCACACACTTGTTCCTGGATCTGATTTCCAGCTCCAGCTGGTAACTCCACCAGCCAGAGCTGGTTGAAGAATTACAGATGAAAATAACTGCAATTTGTGTTTTGACTACAGGATAAAGCACAATGGGAGAAAATATTTGTATTTCTTGTGCTTGATTACACAAAACATTTCCCTGTGCAGCTCGCTGGCTCCTCCAGCTCCATTGTTTGCCAAAAAAAAAAAATAAAAAACAGGGCTTGTGAAAACTACTGAGGTTGTGATTTATTGGTGAGAAAATTCTAGAAAATAGCCTGGGTGAATTGTTCCACATCTGAAATTCAGCTCAGGCCCAGCCCTGAGCAGGTGATCCAAGCAAAATGTTGGTGCTGCATGGGAATAGAACAACATTAATATTTTGTATCTCTGATACAAAATATTAATTTGTATATATTATATATATTATAGATTTTATAAATTATATTATATTATATTATATTATATTATATTATATTATATCATATTATATTATATCATATCATATTATAATTTTTATATTTTATATTATATATTTTATATTATATATTTTTTATATTATATATTATACATACAATATGTAGATATATATAGTATATATTATATATATAATATTGTATTATTTTGTATCTCTGCAGAAGTCCCCAGAATGTGCCCGACTTTTCCAGCCCCAACAGAAACTTGACGAGCTTTGCTTTGCTGCCCTGCTCACAGACACTGATTTATCTTCCAATTACTAAGCACAAATTCAGCAAATGGATACAACAGCTCTGAAAAAAGCCCTTCAGTAAAACTCAGCTGTTCCATCCTTTTAAGCCAAGGATGAGAGCCTCTCCCACAAGAGCCATAAAAATAAAAAAAAAAAATCCAAACTAAACAAGACCAATAAAAAATACCAAATTAGGAGGTCAGGAAGAGATTACCTCAAATAGCAAAATTAAAAAAAAAAAAAGTCAGCACTTGAAGTTCAAACTCAGGTCATTTTAAGAGCTGAAATAGCTCTTCAGGTAAAGGTGTCCCAAAGCCTCTTTGGGAAGCCTCTGCAGGGCCTGTCTGGGTTAACCCCCTAAATCCTGGATTAGTGACGTGCTGCAGGCTGGGAGGGCTCAGCCCGGCAGGCTCTGCCCGCAGCAGCAGTCTGGGAAGGACCAAAGGATCCCCCCTCCTGGGAGAAACCTGGCATCCAAAGGAGGCTCAACAGAAAAACCCAAATCCACACAGCATTTAAATACTCTCATTTTCTCTCCTTGTCCTCAAAGAAGTGCCAAAGGTTTTCTTTTCTACTTTACTTAGAAGGAAAAAAAGAAAATACTCTGATTTTTCTTTCTTTGTCCTTAAGGGACTGCCAAAGGTTTTATCTTCTACTGTACTTAGAAGGAAAAAAATAAAATACTCTCATTTTTCTTTCTTTGTCCTTAAGGAACTGCCAAAGGTTTTCTCTTCTACTTTACCTAGAAGGAAAAAAATAAAATACTCTCCTTTTTCTTTCTTTGTCCTTAAGGAACTGCCAAAGGTTTTCTCTTCTACTTTACCTAGAAGGAAAAAAATAAAATACTCTCCTTTTTCTTTCTTTGTCCTTAAGGAACTGCCAAAGGTTTTCTCTTCTACTTTACCTAGAAGGAAAAAAATAAAATACTCTCCTTTTTCTTTCTTTGTCCTTAAGGAACTGCCAAAGGTTTTCTCTTCTACTTTACCTAGAAGGAAAAAAAGAAAATACTCTGATTTTCTCTCCTTGTCCTCAAAGAAGTGCCAAAGGTTTTCTCTTCTACTTTACCTAGAAGGAAAAAAATAAAATACTCTCATTTTTCTTTCTTTGTCCTTAAGGAACTGCCAAAGGTTTTCTACTTTCCTTAGAAGGAAAAAAAGAAAATACTCTGATTTTTCTTTCTTTGTCCTTAAGGGACTGCCAAAGGCTTTCTCTCCTACTTTACTTAGAAGGAAAAAAGAAAATATTCTGATTTTTCTTTCTTTGTCCTTAAGGGACTGCCAAAGGTTTTATCTTCTACTATACTTAGAAGGAAAAAAGAAAATATTCTGATTTTTCTTTCTTTGTCCTTAAGGGACTGCCAAAGGTTTTATCTTCTACTATACTTAGAAGGAAAAAAGAAATTTGTCCTTAAGGGACTGCCAAAGGCTTTCTCTCCTACTTCACTTAGAAGGAAAAAAGAAAATACTCTGATTTTTCTTTCTTTGTCCTTAAGGGACTGCCAAAGGTTTTATCTTCTACTATACTTAGAAGGAAAAAAAGAAATACTCTGATTTTCTCTCCTTGTCCTTAAGGAAGTGCCAAAGGTTTTCCCTTCTACTGTACCTAGAAGGAAAAAAAGAAAATACTCTGATTTTTCTTTCTTTGTGCTTAAGGGACTGCCAAAGGTTTTATCTTCTACTTTATTTGGAAGGAAAAAAAAGAAGAAGAAAGAAGAGAATAAAAGAGATGAGTGATCTGAGCAATAGTCCAGTGAGTCACAGGCAGGCAATGTCTGCTCTTGCAGAGGATGCTGCAGGGCCCAAGGCAGGGCTGCACAGCTCAGAGCTGCCTCAATCCACAGAAACCTCTCCTTGGTTTGTTCAAAGGTGATCCCTGCCCTCTGCTTCACACCAGGACATCCCATCCTCAAAAAGCCAGTGTTCTCCAGAGCCTGCACCAATAAATCACTTTTATCACAGCAAGGGTGGGGCCCTCACGTGGGCAACAAATTTTTTTAACTTATATTTTAATATTGATTTTTTTTTACTATTTTTTTTTACTTAGAGATGGGGTAATTGAGAGGCGTTTTAAAAATTTCTATTTTTCGTTTTATGAGAAGGGTGAGGTTATACAGATGTCATAATTTATTCCAATTAGAAGTTGGCTATTTTTTAATTACAAACCACAGCATCCCAGGTGCTCCTGGGGAAGGTCAGGTCCCACCTGCAGGGCTGGGAAACCCCAGCACAGGGCAGAAAATTGGGGTTGCTTGTGGGAAAGGGATTTGTAGAAAATTCTTCAAGGTTTTTATAGTGTGGATTTGTATTTAAATGTTGAGATAAGAAATGCTGACTTAGAAATGCCATGGGATAGGACAGACATTGCTGAGAGAGAAATGGAATCAGAAACAAGCTTCAAAAGGTGGCCTTGAAAATAAAACTAAATACTTTGGAGAAACAGAACTATGAAAGATTATTAACCCACGAGGGGTAATTTTAGATTATTAACTTTAAGGCATTTTCAGAACTGTGTGTCTCAAGCTGATAGGCCAAGAAACACTTATAGTGTATTGTGATTAAGAAATAATTAACTCCTGATTGTGATGGAGTGAATTATAACATCTGTATTGTCCCACCCTTCACATGAGACTGAAAATGGAATAAAAGTTTTGCAAACACCTCTCAGCTGCCCCATCCCTGGTCAGAAAAGGGCTCAATCCAAGCTGCTCTGCAGCACTGCCTTTTTTATTTTTAATTTCCAAGTGAGTAAAATGATGCACCTTAAAGCTCAACTAAAAGACACAAGCAGGCATCCCTGAGTAACTGACTTGGAGATAACTCTGGTATTAAAGAAAGAGTAAAAAACCCCTCCTGTCTCTTTTTATAGAGATGTGTGTTTTTACAGATACTCCAAATTGTGAAGCTCATTTCACAGTAGGATCTGGCTGGATTCTCACATTAACACTCCAGAAATTTAACATATTAAAGCTCCAGAAACAGCCTAATCTGGTGGATGAATACAAATCTCAGAGGGGAGATTCTCTGGCCAGGAACATCCTTCCTCTGCCAGGAATTTTGGCTCAACCAAGGCTGGCACCACCTTGGCAAAATCAGCTCCAGGCAGAGCTTCCCACATGGCAGAAAAGCAGCTGCAAATCCCACACTCAGTGATTCCACTTGGCATTCCACAGATGGATGCAAGGCACTGGGATATTTTCAAAGACAGGCAAAAAAAAAAGGAAAAAAATAAAAAAGAGAAAAAAATAAAAGAAATCAAATCAGAGATAAGCTGATTTCTTATTCCTTCTCCTGAAGGCAAGAGGATTACATGATTCATCTTCATGCCCACTTTAGGAGGTGCAAATAAAAGTGAGACTATTTTTGAATTCTTCCTCAGGACAGGAGAGCAGATTTCCCATGTTTTGGCAAATCATGAGGAGCATCAAATTCCAGATGCTGTTCCACAGGCATCAGTGCAGCAAACACCTCCAAAAAAATTCCTGTGCAGAGCAGGAGTAGGTGAGAAAGAGCTGCTCTTCAGTGAATAGACAGCAAGAATAAATCAACAATTTGGGAGTGCAAGATCCCTGGCCTGAGAACAGCAAACAGCAAAACTTGTCTGAGAAATTCTTGAATGGTGGGGGAGCTGAGGAAGAGAAAAACCAGAGCAGAAATCATCCTTTTGTCACTTTAGAAAAACAATCTGCAGATTTCTGTTTGCTGCCTTTTTTTTTCCAAGCAGCTTCATAAAACCTAACCAAGCCTGGCATTCTTCTATAGAAAAAAGATTTAAAAGCAAATCAGCAAAACTTGAGCACTGCCTGATACATTTACATGAAATTCTATATAAATTATCCAGACATCTACAAGTTAGGTTCTACTGGGTTATTTTGCACAGGTATCTCTCTTTTGGAGAGCACCAGGATGGAACTGAGCCCCATAAATCAGAATTATTCTATAGAACAAACCTTTTTGGTCATAAAACCCAAAATAAAACCCATTAAAAAATAAATAAAACCCAAAATAAAACCCAGAAAAATTGAGCACTGCCCAATATATTTACAAGAATTTCTTTATAAAGATATGTACAAGTAAGGTTCTAAATTATTGCTGTATTTGTATTTTGCACACCCTTGGGGTGCACACAGCAGGGTTTGGAGAGCCCCAGGATGGAACTGAGCCCCATAATTCAGAATTATTCTATAGAACAACCCTTTTTGGTCATGCAATATAATCAGCAAAAATTGAATACCTCCCAATAAATTTACATGAAATTCTTTCTAGACTTTTAGAAGTAAGGTTCTAAGTTATTGCTGGGTTATTCTGCACACCCCTGGGGTGCACACAGCAGGGTTTGCAGAACCTTAGGATGGAATTGATCCCCATAAAGCAGAATTATAGAACAAACCTTTTTGGTCATAAAACCCAAAATAAAACCCAGAAAATATTGTGCACCGCCCAATAAATTTACATGAAATTCTCTACAAATCACACAACAGGTACAAGTTAGGTTCTCCTGTTATTCTGCACACCCCTGGGGTGCACACAGCAGGGTTTGCAGAACCTTAGGATGGAATTGATCCACAGAAATCAGAACTATAGAACAAACCTTTCTGGTCATAAAACCCAAAATAAAACCCAGAAAACATCGTGCACCGCCCAATACATTTACATTTAATTCATTATAAATCACACAGACATGTACAAGTTAGGTTCTCCTGTTATGCTGCACACCCCTGGGGTGCACACAGCAGGGTTTGCAGAGCCCCAGGATGGAACTGAGCCCCCCAAAACTGCCAGGGTGGGGAGGACTCACGGCTGGGAATGAGCGGTCTCGTAGCGCTCGAAGGAGTGGGACAGGTCGTGCTTGTTGTTCATGTAGCACTGGGTGCACAGGTCGTAGTCAAAGCACATCTTGCACTTCCACCTCATGCCTCGGATGCCGTGCTTCTTGCAGCAGTCACAGATGATGTTGGGGTGGCGGACACCTGGGGGAGGGAAAGGGAATGGGAGATGCACAGGAATTCCAGGGGAAGTCAAGTTTTCAGAACCTCCCTTGCAGCACTGCAGAAGGCCAAAGCCCTCCAGAAAAGGACCTTTCAGATCCACACCAATTCCAGGGGAAATCAAGTTTTCATAACCACCCTTGCAGCACTGCAGAATACCAAAGCCTTCTAGAAAAGGATTTTTTGAGATTCACACAAATTCTGGGGGAAATCAGGATCTTAGAATCACCCTTATAGCACTGCAGAATGCCAAAGCCTACTAGAAAAAGACCTTTGAGATCCACACAAATTCCAGGGGAAATCAGGATCTTAGAACCACCCTTTCAGAAAAAGACCTTTGAGATCCACACCAATTCCAGGGGAAATCAAGTTTTCATAACCACCCTTGCAGCATTGCAGAATGCCAAAGCCTTCTAGAAAAGGACTTTTTTGAGATTCACACAAATTCCAGGGGAAATCGGGATCTCAGAACCACCCTTCCAGAAAAAGACCTTTGAGATCCACATAAATTCCAGGGGAAATCAGGATCTTAGAATCACCCTTCCAGCACTGCAGAATGCCAAAGCCTTCTAGAAAAGAATCTTTTGAGATCCACACAAATTCCAGGGGAAATCAATATCTTAGAACCACTGCAGAATGCCAAACCCTTCCAGCAGAGCCTTTGCACACAGAGGAACAGGAATGGCCTGGCCATGGCCAGGAGGTGCCAAAGGCTGTCCCAGCACACAGGGCAGGGACAGGAGCTGGCTGTGCCCCTGCTCCAGCAGAGCCCCCTCTCCTTTGCACACAGAGAAACAGGAATGGCCTGGCCATGGCCAGGAGGTGCCAAAGGCTGTCCCAGCACACAGGGCAGGGACAGGAGCTGGCTGTGCCCCTGCTCCAGCAGAGCCTGTGCACAGACAGAAGCAGCAATGCCCTGCCCACCAGCCCCAGCATGGCCCCGCAGGCTGGCACGCAGCCAGGTGTACCAGGGGGGCAGGAATGGCTGTGCCAGGGGCTGTGCCCTGCTGTGCTCACCTATCTGGGCGTTGTCGTAGAGCAGCAGGTCGTAGGCCCCCTGGAAGCCCGTGCGGTAGTTGGTTCTGTTGCCCTGGTCCCACTGCACCACCACGGTCTTGTCGGGCGTGGTGGGGCTGCCCGTGCGGCCGATCTCCACCACGGTGCCCACGTTGCCCTCGCCGCTGTCCTGGCTGCCCCACTTCCAGTCCACTCCACGCACTACCCTCATCCCCACTTGCATGCTGGCATGGGGGTCCAGGTCCATGGATCTGCAGAGCAAACCCTAAAAGTGCTCCTCCACAGGGGTCTCGCAGACGGGCGGGATCAGCGGCAGCATGGTCAGCACACCTGGAAATCAAACAGCAGGAATTTATCCTCCACACATCACATTTCCAACCCCAGAATCATCTGCCTGCAGAAAAAACCTGACCTGCTGAGGAGATAAATCTGTTTTATTCCCAGATTCTCAAAGCTTTAGCACTGATGGGAGTGATGTAAAAATTACCCAGGGTTCCAAGGCTCATCAGCGTCTGCAGTAATACCCAAAAACTTCTTGCAGAGAGCTGAGCATGAGGGAAGAGAACTGGGCAAGGAGTGTACAAAATTCCAGTACCAGCCCTCGATTCCAAACTCAAGAATAAGCACAGAGACACAGCAGCAGCAGGAACAAGCAAGCACAGTAAATAAAATTGAAAGAAATGACAAAGAAAACACCAGCAGCAGGATTTGAGCAATAAAAGTGAATCTCAGTTCATTTCTCAGGAAGTCTCCTCACATGCATCTCATCTTAATACAGCACTGTCAAGTTTCACTTGCCCTTCAAGTCAGTTTTGGTTTTGATTTGAGGATACAGGAAGTTTCAAAACCTGAAAGAAGCGTTTGCCTGTTTTCCCCAAGTAAGGGCAGTTTTTGAAAAACATGGCCAAAGTCAGATTAATTTCAGTCTTTTCCTGTTGTTTAGCCACGAGCTACAGCAGGAACAGGGAAGGGCTGCTGCTCCACCTGCAATAAACGCAGCAGATTTAGTGCTGGGATCAGTGAGCCAGGGCCAGCTTTCCCAACTGTTGCCATGACAATGGGTAAATGGGGTGAACAGCACACAGATGCAGCACATCCTCAATTCTGAATTAAATCAGATTCTTACATCAAGCAGATTCTCAAATCCTTGTTTCTCTCTTCACCAGCACAAGACACAGAAGAGGAATGTGGCTTTTAATACACAGAGCCTGGAAAAATCTCCTCTAGCATCCTTGGGTCTCCCTCTTCCTCCTGAGCTATCCACAACACCCAGATTTTCTCAAAAATTGAAAAAAAGGCCCAAGAGGATGCCAAGGGATGAAAAATGCAGATGGCACAAGCAAAGCTCCCCCAGTGCCACGACACAGAGGGTCCAGCTGAGGGGATGTGCTCAGCCCCAGCAGCAGGAGCAGCTCTGGGATGTGCTGTCAATGCTGCACCCACCAACAAAAACATCTGAAACCACCAAACCCTAAAAATAAACCCATCCTCCAGCCAAACATCCCCTTTTGAGTGCGTGGAGGAGTGGTTTGATGCAAAACCACATTTCCAGCGTGCAGAGTGAGCCTGATCTCTGCTCAGCCTCAGCATCTCTGCAGCTTCAGCCTCTCCCTGTCCTCACTGCTGTCACACCCAAACACCTGGCACAGCAGAGCAGCATCAGAGCCAGCTGTCCTTGTGAGCTCCACGTCATCCTCCCTCCTCATCATCACTAAAAGTCTCCCTGGGGGACTCTTTCACTTGTTTTTGTGGGGGTGGATGTAACACTGCAGAGCTGGAGGTGCACCAGTGCTCACTGTCCTTGTGAGAGCAGGAATTAAAGGATATCCTTTGTGTCCCACAGAGGCAAACCCACATTTCCCTGTGCACCTTCCCCCAAATTTTGGATGCTGCTGGAGCTCAGCTGCACACCTGTGATGCTGAATTGCCTTCAAAGGATCTGTCAGTGCTGCAAAAAAAGCACCAGCAGCCCCTTGCTGGCTGCTCTGAGGATGCCTCCCTAACCTGAATATTCCATTTTCCACACAAGAAGGCACCAAGCGCATCCTGCACTCCCTTCTCCTCCTCAGGGGAGATGCCAAGCGCATCCTGCACTCCCTTCTCCTCCTCAGGAGGAGAACAGGAGGAAAAAGCTGTTCAAAACCCCCAGGGGATGAATTACAGAGTTCTCGTGGTCTGAGCCTTGCCAGAGCAGCATTATTGACTTCCTAAGTGGAGATGTTTCACTCACTGGAGCAAATACTCCTCCCTCGATGCTGCCTGGGCTGTAATTACTCCAGGTAGGGCTGCCAGAAATAATTCAGAGAGAAAACATCAGTTTCCCATGGGAATTTCAAATAACCATGAAGGAATAATCCAGATTTATGAATCTCATCTGACATTCTGACCTTGCCTGCTGTGACACAGGAAAGAGCAGCCTAGATGTGATCTCTCAGTTTTAGGAAATGCCACTAAAACTTAACTGGAAAAAAAAGGGAGATACTCCAGCTTTCTGCCCACAAAATTTAAGCTGCAATAATTGTGGCAACTTTCTGCCAATATTCAAATATTTCAGCCCAATTTCCACCTCGTGGGAGGCAAAGGTTGCTGCTGGTGTGGCCCCAGAGCAAACAGAACCCAGTGCTGTAAGCAGCTGGCAGAAATCAGTGCCTGGTGATGACATTATTTGAACAGCATGGTAAACAGAGGATGTGTTTAAAAGAAAAAAACCAGCTTTTTTCTTCCCTTTACACATATTTTGCAGTCTGAATTGTCTTGAGGTGAATTGCTCCACACTTTAGAGAGATTTGCCCATGCAGGAGAAGCTTCTTCAGGTAACTTCAAATCACACACTTCTCAAAAATTCCCCATTTCCCCAATGATCAGCCCCCAAATCAGCCAGCATTACACTGAACATTTGAAAATAACACCACTGTCCATTTCTTACTCTTTTCATTCTCTTTGACTCTTCCAGTGCCATTAAATAAAGTCTTACCAAGTCATTAGAAGTGTAAATTGATGAGCTACCACACTGTAAAGCTTCAAGACTTCATTTTGCATACCCTCACATCAAAAATATCAACATAATTTTGGTGTACTGGCTGAATTAAGCCAGCTCATATTGAATTAAAAACTGCTTTTTAGCTCTTTCTCCACTACTCCTGTGAGTATTTCCCTACAGGAATAAGGCTCAGCAGGGTTTTCTCTCTTTCCTGACACAAATTTCACAGCTCAATGCACCATCAAATATTGTTCCCTACCTGCAAGCCAGAAATAAATACTTTTGTGTTCTTCAATAACACAACCAGGATCAAATACCTCTGCTCAAGTCTTTCAGCTGCTAAGCTTATTACCATTCATGCCAAAAACCTGAAATTCACACAAATATAGTTGCCATTAGATGAAAGCAGAGCAGAAAACCAGCAAAACACACAGAAAATCCATATTTTTGACCCACTACCCCTGCAAAGCCTCAATGACACTTTTCTTCCCTTCTCCTTGTGCAGTCAGGAATTTTGTTTAGTCTAAAATTGTGCAAAATGGCATCACTGGCACAGGGGAGGGAGGCAGAGAGGAGCAGATGCTGCTTTTGTGGCTTAAATACCAACAGCAGATAAATGAAGGCATTTTACTGATCAATCAGTCTGAGATGAAATAAAAAAATCAAATATGGGGCAGTTGCCATGGGTGAAACCAATCAATAAAAAAAAATAAAAGCCTGAGTGAGGTGAAATAATTTCCAGGGCCCAAACCTCACATGCTCCCAGAGTATATTTAACTGTATTACATAAACAGAATAAAGCAGGTGATTAATAGGCCTTTGCTCAGGGATTAATATCTTGTCATTCCAGCATGAGAGCAGGCACAGGCACATCCTGAAACACAAGGGAGGAAATGCTAAAAATAACCAGCCAGGCTCAGTCCCCACCAGCATTTTATCTCTGCAATCAACACTTGGCCTTTACAAATGCCAGCCCATTGATCTGTTTTGTCCAAACTGAATTTTACATTTCATTTTACACTGGTTGTGTTCTGGCACTGAGTTGTTTCTTTCAGTAATATTTGAGTGGTTCTCACTTTGTTTTTCCATCTATTCCTTCACCTTGTTAAAGATCTAAAGGAAGCACCAGCAAATTTATTAATATTCAGGAGCTTTGTGCAAACTCTTCATCCCAGCATTCTGGTTTCCTAAAAATGGACATGAACCTCAGAATAAATTATCTAAATAAATGATCTTCCACCTAAAGGTGGAAGAAGTTAGAGAGAAACTACACATTTTAAATTTTGGGTTCATTGTGTGTGAGCATGGCAGGACCCAAAAGCTGCAGTGGACACAAAAACTGCACTGAGCTGGCCTTGAACCTTCAATTTAACTCAAATTTCATCCCCCTGTGATGACAACAGGCACAGAAAAGTGAACTTGGTCCAAAAATGTAACACTGATCTGCACCAAATCCAAACTGGCTTTGTCACCGAGAGCTGAGGACCAAAAAGGGCTTTTTGTCAGCAGTGAGTAACAAAATTAATTAAACAGAAAGTGACAGTGAGCACCCGGGAGCACAGACACAGCACAGTGTTTTTCATGAACCAGCTCCCTGCTAAGTGCAGGACTAAGCCATGAACTGGGTTGCACAATGGTCAATATTTGCTTTGAAACACTGAAATGCAAGCAGCACCTTTAGGAATCATTGGCACAAAGCACAAACAAGCAGCTGGGCACAGCACAGGGCACTGGGCTGGGCTGGGATTCCCTGGATTCCCTTCTCTGGCTGGACAATCCAAACCTTTCCTGGTTTTCCCACCGAGGCTGAGGGTGCACAGGAATTTGGGAAGGAGCACCCCGAGTGACCACAGGTGCTCAGCAATAAAAACTGGGGGGGGGAAATAGAAAATGGGAATTTTTTTTTAGTCTCTTTGCCTTCCCAAACAATCCTAGCACCTGAAGAATTCCTTAATTTCACCTTTCCAGTCCCTGTCCCACTGGAGCTGCCTGCCAGGGTTAACCCACCCCACAGAGAAAGGTGGGATATCTCCTGCCAGCTCAGGCATGCTCAAAATTCACATTCCTACATCAACATCAATCCAAGCCTACAAAAGCACAAGTTCTCTCTGCTCCACAGGAAAACTTCAGGCTGCAAATTGCTGAGATCAGAGCTCGTGTGCCCAGTGGAGAATTAGAAGTGATTACAAGTGAAAGTTCACACTGGGCATCTCGTGGATCTCTCTTCTTACATCCCATGAGATAATTGCTCATTGCTCATGATGAAATTCCCTTCTGGCTTTTGATGAACTGTGTTCTTTCCAGGAGGGAGAAAAAACAGCTCCAGCCCTTTGCTTTAATTGGAGCTGACAGTTTGCAGATTTGAGCCTGGAGCCTTGAAAAAGCTCAGCAGCTGATGAGAATCCACTTTTTCCTCAATAGCAGATCTCCGAGTTAAATTTATATTGCTTTATAATAAAAACAAATACTCCCTGCCCACACACACAACCACTAGGTAATGTTGTTTAAAGGAAAAAAAAAGCAATTATTTGCTAAGTTTGAATTAAGGTCTTTGCATAGAAAAAAATGGGAGAATGGTATTTAAACTTTTCCATGGAAGATCTCCGTGGAAAAGAAAGAAAAACTCAATATTATTGCATTGAGTGATTCTTCTCCATCTCCTGCCAGGAATCACCATCACTTTTCTGGCCCTTGGCAACAATCAACCACCTGCATCCTTTTTTTCTGTACCCAGAATGGTGACAAAACCACAATATTAAAAAAAACCAACATTTAATAAAGTCAAATACAACCACCCAGGGCGGCTGGACAATCTCCACTGCTCTAAGAACAAGTTAAGAGATCCATCAGGAAGGGTTTCAGTGCACTTCAGCATGCCTTGGGGAGAAGGATGGACTAGGTGGCCTCAGCAAAATCCCTTCCAGAACTATTTTCAATCATCTAGAAATAGAGGATCAGACAGAAACATATTCCAGCAGTGAGAAATCTGTCTTGGCAGAGGATTTCAACTGTGCTCTTCCTTGACATTGCTCTAATATATTTCTCAGAGGCAAGACCATCTGGCCCAGAGCTGATGGTGTGGAGCCCTGGTAAAGCTCAGGTCTGCATCTCTCTCACACCAGCTATCAACTCCTATTTACCACTAAAATCTGAGTTCAAGCATTTAAAAGTTTATAAAACCCCAATAAAAAAAATATAAAAACCTATAAAACCCCGAACATGATTGCCTTGCCTGTGCCTAAAGTCAGCAAGTGTCCCCAAAAGTCATTCAAAAATCAAAATCCTGATTTACTGCAGGAATGAAAAAATCAAGAGGAATTAACTCTGATGTCCTGAGAGGTGGCTGAGGACACACAGAGCTGTGGCTCACAGGTATTCAGACCCTGGGGCCCTCAGCCCTGGTGGCACAAAGGGATTAACAAATCCTCTGAGTTAGGAACACCATTTTTCCAAATGAAAAGCAGCTCCTCCAGCCTGGCATGAGGGAGCTGGAGCACAAAACCTGCTGGATCCCTGCTGAGCCTTGATAGCTCATCCTCCCCAACCTGAGCTTCCCCTCCAGGCTCCCAGCACGGCCAGCACTGCACTCCTGCCTGCTCTCAGCCTGCAACCTGCCCTTTCTGTGCTCTGAAAGCAGATCAGGAGGTTTCAATCTAATCTCTGCTGACATGCCTTTGGCCAGGCAGCCGTGTGGGAGCAGAACAAAGCGAGGAGGAGCTCTTGCCTTCCTCACTCAGCCAAGGTTTGAGGGGCAGCATGTCCATCAGTTCCCCGCCAGGTCTGTGCATTTTACAGGTCCAGATGTTTTCTTTGTGCTTTGGGGACTCTGGAGGATCCAAGAGCATCTGCAGATGGGAAATGGAGCCTGAGGTACACGTGGGACTGGTGGCAGAGCCAGGAGCGAAGCTCACACATCCCAACTCCAAGTTCTGCTCTCCACAGCCTGGTCACAGGAAAAGAAGGAAGTTTCAACCCCTGATCCAGCATTCATCCCTAATTCCCTTGGGATTTCATCAGGGAATGTGGCTCGAGGTCTAAGATCAATCAGCTCAATATCCTGCCAGCACATCAATGAAACTTCACTGATTCCATGTTCCAGTCTAAATGGAGGAATAATATTCTAAAAGTCCTCCTGCTGGAGGACTTTTTCTGTGTTCTTGGAAATTTCAAACACTACTACAGAGGGAAAAGAAATATTTCAATTCTGCAAGTCTCCCACAAAACAACAGACTGCACTTTCTCTTTGTTTAAGGAGAATTCAATGATTTCTCTCCCATCAGAGCTTCCAGGGAGAGTTATGGAAAGGTGAGAGAACACTGTATTACAATTCTGGCCCTTCTAAAAACAAGCCATGAATTAGAATCCCTGAAAAACAGCCAGGACTCAAAGAGGACTCTGCACTCTCCCTGGAAAACAGCAACTGAAGGGAAAGGGCAGGAGCAGAGCTGCTGTGGTGACATTCAGCACAGCCCTGGATCCTGCCTGAGCCCAGAGCTCTGCTGGAGCAGAGATGATGAGCAAGGCAAACGGATTTGATGGGAACAGGTAGGGACAACACAACCTCAGAGAGCTGAACCAGGCTGGAGAAAGCCTTCAGCTCCAGAGGGACCAGCAGGACCAGCCTCTGTGAGCAGCAAAATCAAACCTGCACAAAGACAAGGAGCTCGTCTCTGAGGCAGCAGCCACAGCTCCGAGCATTCTGTGCTCCTGGAGCCACCCACTTCTACATCAAGGCAGCTGAAAAAGCCATGGACATCCCTCTTCCCAAGAAAAAGGGAAGGAGACAACTGCAACCACCACACTTCCAGCACTCCCACAGTTTTTTTGCAGTTTCCCAGACATCTGATGAAGTTTCAGTGGAAAAGGCATCCCAGTTCTTCCAAACAATCCCAGCAGTGCCCATTGCAGACCAAAGCAGGAGAATAACAGATTCTTCACACACGAATTTGGCACAGGATTTTCACAACCACAGAGCTCCAAACATGCACTCAAAATAAATGTCAAAACATATGATGCTGTACAGCAAAATCAGAATAAGCAGAGAATTGTGCTGAGCCAAGTATCACACAAATATGAAGCTCCTTCTCATGGCAGTGACTCACAGAGCTGTGCAAAGAGGAAGGCAGGGGAAACACATTCACCTTTGTGAAGCCCAGAAAGGAAATAACTCTTCAATAAAACAGAGCCTGTGGTGGTGCTGTTAAATGACAGACTGTTAATAATGCTGCAGGCACCCTAAAGAACTCCTGCCTTTCCAGCAGAGAATAAAATTAGTCTGAAAACCAGGCATAAGGTACTGAGGATACACCAGTGGTGGAGCTGAGACTACACAGAGTTACCTGATACCCAACTACTGCCCTGTAAGTCAAAAAAGAACTTTTTAAAGGAACCACCACGAGCCCAAAAGATGTCACCTGCTCCAGACACAAACCTAGACACCTACAACTCAGAGCAGAAGGCAAAGCTCAAAGCAGGGCAAGAACCTCTCCAGCTCTGCCAAGGCTGTGGAAGCTTCCCCTTTGTCACCTCCATCACCTACTTGTCGCCCAGCATCATTCCCACCATAAAAATGTGGGATGTGGGTTATTTACAGGCACTGCACCCCTTGACAATTCACTCGTCCAGATCCTGAAACCATGAATGAAAAATTCAACAGGTAATCAAGCACGGAGGAAGGTCCTAGAAGGATGAACAACTGCATCATTCTTCACAGCAAGCAGTTTCAGCAAACCAGGGAGTTGCTAAACAGAGGAGAAATAAAAATGGTATTTCATTTGAGCCAAATACACTCCTCCTATAGCAACAGAGGAGTGCAGAGGATGTCATGAGGCTCTTGGCCAAAAAAGAGAGAAGGTTCAGCAGTAAAGGCAAGCTCAAGTGACCTCCATGAAGGTGAGCCAGGGCTCACTTGCTTCTCAGCGAGGTAGAAATCAGAATTTGTGACATTCAGAAAGTAATTCTACAGCTGAGCATGGGCAGTGAAATGAGAGCAAACACCGCCAGCGCCTCCAGTGCAGCTGCACCAACTTCTCTGGGTTTATTCCGGGTTTAGTCTGGCCTCCATTCAGGCAGACTGGAAATACAGAAACACGGGACAGAAAAAGCCACACGTGCCTCAGCTCCCAGCTTCCTTCCTCACACGCTCCAGGGAAAACGAAATTCCCGGCAGGAATCACGGGCAGCCCAGCCAGCCAGGCCCTACCTGCAGTACCTGTCGGGGAGCAGGAGGCTGCTCACACCCTCCGGGGCAGCGGGAAACACCCACCGGGCTGGGGAGCACCAGCGGCCGGGTGCGGCCCCAGCCCGGGTAAAGGTGCTGGAACAACCCGGGCTAAAGGGGCCGGAACCACCCGGGCTAAAGGGGCCGGAACCACCCGGGCTGAAGCAGCCCCAATCCCGGCTAAAGGGGCCAGAACCACCCGGGCTAAAGCGGCCAGAACCACCCGGGCTGAAGCTGCCCCAATCCCGGCTAAAGGCGCTGGAGCCAGCCCGGCTAAAGGGGCCAGAACCACCCGGGCTAAAGCGGCCTCAATCCCGGCTAAAGGGGCCAGAACCACCCGGGCTAAAGGGACCTCAATCCCGGCCAAAGGTGCTGGAACCAGCCCGGCTAAAGGGGCCAGAACCACCCGGGCTAAAACGGCCTCAATCCCGGTTGATGGGGCCAGAACCATCCCGGTAAAAGGGCCTTAATCCCGGCTAAAGCTGCCAGAACAACCCGGGTTAAAGGGGCCAGAACCACCCCTGTAAAGGGGCCTTGATCCGAGCTACAGCTGCCAGAACCACCCAGGTTAAAGGGGCCAGAAGCACGCCGGTAAAGAGGCAGAACCACCCCGACACAGGGGCCAGAATCACGCCGGCTAAAGCGGCCCCAATCCCGGCTAAAGGGGCCAGAACCACCCCGGTAAAGGGACCAGAATCACTCAGGTTAAAGCTTCCAGAACCACCCCGGCCCCTTCCAGCTGCCCCATCCCGAGGGGAACAACCCGGGGAAAGCCAGGCACGTACCTCAGCGCCGAGGCAGAGCCGAGGATCCCCGGAGCCACAAGCCCAGCGCTGCGCCCGCCGCCGTCCCTCCTCCATCCCCACAGCGGCGCCCGGGCGGGCGGAGAACGCGGGTGACGCTGGGCACCGGGGCTGAGATCCGCCTTTATCCCGGCACCTCCCGGTGTGGCTGCAGCAAAGCCCCTTGTCCTGAGCCGGGCCGTGTCCCCGGAGCCCGGCCGTGTCCCCGCGGCCGCCGCGTCCCCGCGGTGCTGCTGCCGCAGCTGCAGCTCGGCCCCGGGGCCGCCCCGCCTGCGCTCCCGCGGGCAGCCGGGAGCCGTAGTTCCGCTCCGGGCGCTCCGACTACAACTCCCGGGAGCCCGCGGGGAGCCCTGGGGAGCCCAAGGGGAGCCCGAGGCTCGGGGGTGAGGGGAAGGTTCGGGGCAGTGCCCGGTTTGCCCGGGCGGAGCGGAGCTGGCAGGAGGGGATGCGGGGTGTGAGGGAGGGATGCTGGTGGGTCGCGTGTTTGAGGTGTTTAGGATCACTCAGTCCAACAAGTGCTCGGTTTATGTGGGTTCAATGGTAAAAGAGTGGGTTTAGGTTGGGTATTCGGAGGGAATTCTGCACTGTCGAGGTCTCCCACGGGGAGCCCCAGGCGCGTCTCGGCTCGGGCGTGAGGGTTCGGGGCAGTGCCCGGTTTGCCCGGGCGGAGGGAGGGATGAGGGAGGGATGCTCGTGGGTTGGGTGTTTGAGGTGTTTAGGATCACTCAGTCCAACAAGTGCTCGTTTTAGGGGGGTTGGAGGCTAAAAGAGCGGGTTTAGGTTGGATATTCAGGTGGAATTCTGCACTGTGAGGGTCTCCCACGGGGAGCCCCAGGCCCGTCTCGGCTCGGGCGTGAGGGGAAGGTTCGGGGCAGTGCCCGGTTTGCCCGGGCGGAGGGAGGGATGAGGGAGGGATGCTCGTGGGTTGGGTGTTTGAGGTGTTTAGGATCACTCAGTCCAACAAGTGCTCGGTTTAGCGGGGTTGGATGCTAAAAGAGCAGGTTTAGGTTGGATGTTAGGGGGGAAATCTGCACTGTGAAGGGGTGAGGCGCTGGGAGAGGTCGCTCAGGGGAGGTGTAGATCATTCCTGGAAGTGTTCAATGCCAGGGCTTGGAGCAAGCTGGGATCGTGGAAGGTGTCCCTGCCCACGGCAGAGGGTGGAACGAGGTGATCCTCAAGGTCCCCGTCCAACCCAAACCTTTCTGTGATTCTGTGAATTCGTGTCTTTGTTCACCAGGAAGGCTTTGAAATCCTCCTCCTGTCTCAGCCTGGTGCCTGGCATGAGATCTTGGGTGGCTGAAGTGTCACCAAAGTGAATTTAAACACCTGGATTGTGGAATGGATTGGGTTGGAGGCCACCTTAAAGATCCCCCAGCTCCAACCCCCTGTTGTGGACAGGGACACCTTCCACCAGGTTGCTTCATCCAGCCTGGCCTTGAACCTTAAAGCATAGCGCTGCTGCTTTTATAATTACCTTCAGAGGCAATTTAGGAGTTTGTGCCACGTGTGTGATGCTAGCAGTGATGACAATGTTCATGTGACTCTCTCCTCTCAGGTGAAGACACACAAACCCCGCTGACTTTGCCCCTGCTGAGCTCAGAGACACCCAAGTGAGGTAAAACCTTGCCAGCTTTAATACCCTGCACTCTGCTGTCAGGTGAAGACACAAACTCCACTGAATTTGCCCCTGCTGAGCTCAGACACCTTGAAAACTCTGATTAACTCTGGTTAAGTGAGGTAAAACCTTGCCAGCTTTAATACCCTGCACTCTGCTGTCAGGTGAAGACACAAACCCCACTGAATTTGGCCCTGCTGAGCTCAGACACTTTGAAAACTCTGGTTAATGAGGTAAAACCTTGCCAGCATTAATACTCTTTACTCTCCAGTCAGGTGAAGACACAAACCCCACTGAATTTGGCCCTGCTGAGCTCAGACACCTTGAACACTCTGGTTAAACAAGGTAAAACCTTGCCAGCATTAATACCCAGCAGGAATGTGGCAGCAAGGTCACCAAAAGCCATCCCTTGTGCCACCGCAGAGCCCTGGAAGTGCAGCAGAGCAAGAAGGACAGCAGCACGGCCTGGGGCTCGGGGAGGCTGAAAAGAGCAAATTTGTGAGGCAGAGTCAGGGCACGGCTGCTGGCACCCTGAGTTTTGTGGCTCCAGGCTGCAGAGGACCTGTCCAAAAGCAAGATTGTCTCTGCCACTTGACGGAAACAGGAGCACTCGGTGTCCCTTGGCCTCTGTGCTGCGTAAAAGCCACGTTGGCCAGGCCAGCTGAACACACAAAGTGGAAAAAATGTGGATTTGTGAGGGAATTGATCTGCCCTGGTCCTGGCACTGCTGCACTTCAGGCCAGCCTTTGGCCAGAGGGTGAAAAGGGAGTGCTGGGGAATGTTTTGGGATGTGGTCAGTGGCGTTCCCTCCCTCAGATTGAGTTATGTTATCTAAATTTTAAAAATGAATTAGAGGCAGGTGAGTGCAGCCAGCACTAATTGTAGTACGAGATCCATTCTTAGAGTTTTGGGCTCACTCAAATATTATTTTATATATTATATAATATATTATATCATATTATATATCAATAATATAATATATTAGATAATAATATACACTATTATATATTATATAATATACTATATATATTAATAATATAATATATTATATTGATTTTATATATATATTATTACTGAGCTAATTCAGGATTTACTTTTGCCAGTGCTTATTCTAAACAGGAGCTTGCACATCCAGACTTTGAGTTATGTCAGGTTGAGGGCTTTTTTCCAAGCTATTTTCTCTTTAAAAAATAAAATTGAAATGTTTTAAAACTTAAAAAAGCCCTAAAATTCAAGCCTCCATTCTTTAAAAAATAAAAATTAAAAGCTAAATATTTTTAATTGAAAGTAATTAAAATTCAAGCTAATCTCTCTTTAAAAACAAAATTAAACATTAAAATTGATTGTTTAATTTTTTTAAAAATCAAGCTACTCTCTTTTTAAAATAAAAATAACATTAAAAATAAAATTTAAAATAAAATTTAAAATAAAATTAAAAATAAAATTGACTGTTTGCAAAGTGCCTTCTCAGGCATCATCAGCTCAAAAGGCAGCAATGAAAACTCAGCCTGGATGTTAAATAAAATTAACAAAGTTTACTGCAAGGGGCTGGAGCTGCCCAGCACTGAATATTGGGGAGAAGCCTCTGTTTTCCCGTGGTCCTGTCCTGGTTTTCCATGGAAATCAGCAGGAATTGTTCTTTGCCCACTGGATGCCGCTGTTCCACAGAAATATTCATGAGTTTTCCTTCAGCAGCTTCTGGCAGCCATGGAAGCCACTCCAGGGTCAGCCAGGCTGTGTGGATTTCCTTTAAAATTGAAGATTTTAAAATATAAAATTATTATTTTTATTATTTCTATTTCTGTATTTATTTTAGTAAATTATTTTTATATTTATTATTATTATTTTTATTATTATTTTAGTTTTTTAATTGCCTTTTTTCCCCAAAAAGGAAATTTCCTTAATATTTTGCACCTTCCAGACGTGGCACGTGCAAAACTTGGGCCACTTGATCCTTTTGTGATGTTCTTTGAATTTCAGTATTTCATGGGATCAAAATATGTGGGTGGGATAAAAATGTATTGGTGATTGAGGGGAAAATAGGCTGCTCAAAATGTGTTTTCAGGATCTGTAGAGGTATAAAATATCTCTATAAAATCTAAAATAATGTATTAATGTGTAAATAGATATACATGTAAAAATATATTATATAAAGAGATACTATTATCTTATAATAATATATAATAATATACAATGATACAGATTGATAATATATAACAGAATATTATAAAATATATTAAAATATTGTATAGATAAAATAATATATTATAAAATATAAATATATGAAATATATAAATGTCTATATTATAGAATATAAAATATATAAAATATACTAAATATATAGAATAATAAAAATATAAAATATAAATTAATCCCTTGCAGTGCTCTTTTGCATGCTTAATAAAGGAAAAAAAAATCATTTGGAGAATCCTCTCCTTAAAAGCAGAGCCTGGAAGTGGCAGCAGGAGCCTCTGCTGTTTCCTCCAGAGGCAGTGACCTGAATAAAGCAGCAGGGATGAGTGTGCTCCCACTTTTCAGGGAAAAAGCAATGTATTTATAGCTGAGAACAAAGCAGAGTGACCTACATCCCTCCAGTGCCCAGCCTGGGGAATTCATTTTGAGGAAATTCTGCTCCACATTTTCTTTTCTCCTCTGAAGGAAACAGAACCACGGCTTAATAGAATCCAAGCCCAAGGGGGGTTGCTCTCTATTCCCTCCCAGTGCTGTTTTTAGCACTGAAAAACAACTGGAAAATGTGGCAAAAAATAATAATAATTAAAGGTGGCAGGAGCAGGCAGGGACAGACCCTGAACCTGTGCCAATAATTCTGATTTTTGAGGGGTGTTTGGAGTCCCCTCCTGTTCCTCCACACCATATCTAAGGCAGGATCCCTGCAGTGCTCAGCATCACTGAAAAATGAGGAAAACTGGATGAGAATTCTGGTGTTTGCTGTGTCCCAGCAGTGCCAGGTGGGAAACTGGCTCAGTTCTGGGATTCTGTGCCTAAATCCCAATGAGAGCCTTCAAAATCCCAAAGGGATCCTGAAATCTGTGGGATTACAGCCTGAACTTGAAACCAGTCCAGTCCTCTTTTTTGTTTGGTTTTTTTTTCCCCTGCTTTTTTTTTTTAATTTAAGTAACTCACTCATGCACCTGAGTCAGGGCCTATGTGGCTCTAAATGAATTTTTGGCTTTTTTCTTGGGAAATTTGGTCCTTTTGCCTCCCTGTCTGTGATGCACACAAAGATTTTATGATTGGCTGTAATTCTTGTCAGGTCCTGTCCTAAATCAGAGTTAAGTTTTAAAAGTGAAACTGCACACAGCAACAAGAGACAAAGATTTTATTAACAGTTTTCCTGCTGTAAATCTTGTCAGGTCCTGTCATAAACTGGAGTTAAATTTTAAAAGTGAACCTAACCCAACCCCATCCCTCCAGTCCTTGATGAGCCCCTTGGTGATTTTTACAATCACTGGCTCCTGCTGAAAACCCAATTAATGAAATCCTGGTGCTGTTGTCCCAGGGAGGGACATCCCATCTTTCTGCAGGAATGCTGAGGAGGGACATCCCATCTTTCTGCAGGAATGCTGAGGAGGGACATCCCATTTTTTCTGCAGGGCTGCTCATTCCCCACTCCGCAGGAGGGAC